AATTAGAGAAAGGAAAAAAGGGAAATGGAAGACTACGCCCAGCCCACATCAACTTTGGCGGACAGGGTGGCGTCGAGGCCGGATGCCGATACGGGCGAGTGCCCCCGAGATCACCATGGGTCAGTCATGGCCAATGGCTGCTCTTGCAGGAATAAAATTCTGCAGGACGCTTCTGGACGAGCCAGGGCCGAACACCTTATTACCCCACCATGAACACGGAATCGGGAAAGATGAACAGGGTGCAGCTCAGCGCACGGGCGAGGAAGCGAGGGAGATGGAGGAGGATTACATAAAACTCGAAGGGCAGGACTGTCGAAAGCCATTTCTTCATCTGTTCATCCTCCTAACTTGCGTAGGATCGATCCTGCTCGCCCTCGCCCAGGTGGTTGTCGAGAACAATTCATCCTTCAGCACCATCGCTCTCCTTTTAGTTGCCACCGCCGCCGGAATCCTCTACTTCGTCTCAATCTGCTTGCGCCCTTCCCAATCTTCATCTTCATCATCTTCAACTTCTACACGTCAACAAGGCCACTACCAAGATCGTGAGCTCATGGTGGGGCTCTAGGTCTTCTGCTGCGTCATCGACGTTGTGCTCACCATGTCCGTCCTCCCGCCCGCGCGACCTCTTCGCCTGGTACCTCTGCATCCCGCTGCTCTTCCTCTACGCGCGCGGCGTACGGGCTTGCGTGGTCGCGCTCGTCTTCGTGTGCGCCCAGACGACCGTGCTTCGCTACCTGCGCGCCCAGCCGTGGGGCGATCTCACCGCCCTGTCGTCGCCCACAACCGTCCGCCACACGACCTGGGGTGCGTTTCCTTGCCAATCGCACACGCCCACACCGTCTCACAAGTGTGCTGAGCGTGTCGTGTGTGTGTCGTGTGTGTCGTGTGTGTGTTGTGTGTGTCGTGTGTGTCGTGCGCAGGTCAGTCGTACTGCGACTGTTGGTTGTGCTGCTCACCACTCTGGCGGCGTGTCACCATCACGAGCACACGCAAGCCCTGGACCGCCTGAAGAAGGCCCTGCGCGAGAAGAACGCGACCAATCGACAGCTGCTGCGCGCCACGCAGGCCAAGTCCGATTTCCTCGCCAACATGTCCCACGGTGCAGCGCCCACAATAACAATCAATGAATATAAATATAGATACATAAATATAAATATAAATATATATAAAATAATACATAAAACTAATACTATTCGTGTTGACCGTGCCAGAGCTGCGAACGCCGATGCATGGCATCACGGCGATGAGCCGGGAGCTCCAGGACTCGCTACTCCCCTCGACCAAAGCCAGCCGGGCTGTGACCATCATCGCCGGTACGCTCGTGGTCACTAGCTCTCGTTTCATAGGGCGCTGCCGTTTCTCTCTCTCTGTGTGTGAAGAAGTCTGCGGGTGCGGCTGACTCACCTGTTGCACGTCTAGACTGCGCGGAGCACCTGCTTGCGCTGGTGAGCGACATTCTGGACTTTGAGCGGATCGAATCGAACCAGCTGCAGCTCGAGACCATCCCCTTTTCGATCGTCGACGAAGCCCAAAAGGCCGCCAGCCTGCTCCAAATCACCGCTGGTACCGCCCTGCGCCTGTGTTTCAGTTCTCTTCGCTCTTCGTTCTTCGCCTTCGTTCTTTACGTTCGTCTTTTTCTCTTGCGTTGCTCTCTTACGCGCACGCGGTACAGATAAGAACACCCTTTCCTCCCTCGATGAAGGAGTCGTTAACGACTCAGGGGCTCTCGAAGGTCAGAAAGTCGACCAGGCCCAGCTTGAAGCTGTTGACGGCCGCCTCGTCCGAAGAACCGTCGTGCTGTCCTTACTGTACGGGTATTGGCCGCCCCAGACCCCGAATAAGCCCGACACGCTCCCTGCGCCGGTGCCATACAGGCCCTCAACACGGCCCCAGTGGCGGCGAGCCTGCCCAACACGCCCATCGGCCTCGTGCTCCCGTCGTTGGCCAGGTTCGGCCTGGGGTCCGTCTTCGCGTGGGCGCTCGCCAACTTGAGCGCCAACTTCGCCGCGCAGCTGAGCGCCTCCGGAGGTCGGCTGGCGGATCTCCCGCACGTCCAGGCCACCGCCGTTGTCGCTTCCAACTACACCGCCGCCGCCAGCCTTGTGAGTGTACGTGACCTCCTAAGCACGTCTCCCGTGATGTGTGGCTTGGCTTGTGTACGTCAACTCTCTCTCTCTCTCTCTGACTACAGTTGTGTGGTCCGTGTTTGTTTTTCCTATCAGGGGTCGGTGGGAAGTATGACATTCCTCACCTGGGCGCAGGCCAAGAGCTCCAGGCTCGCCTACGCCTCGATGAACAACCGGGCCGGGAAGAAAGTGGCGGTGTCGACGGCTTCAGTGCAAGCGGCGATGTTCGACTTCTGGGCGACCTTCAACGAAGGCCAGCTGGCGATGGACATCTTCAACGGCGACGGACGCCAATTCGTGGCCGCTTGCCTACCTCCAGTTCGTGGTGCTGCACAAGAGCGTCACCACCCTCCAATGCTCATCGACCCAGGGCCTGCTGCTCTTCTTCAGCGGCAGCAAATCGACTTCGCTCCGATTGGCCGTGGAAGTTCCCTTGTCCGGACTAACTGGAGTTCTACCAAGTTCGAAGAAACGCCCAACGTCGCGACGGCAAACAACCACGTCCAACCGGCATAACGGCAACAACCTATTGATGGAGCATCAGCAGCAGCCGATAAAGGCGCCTGTGACCGGTGGCGGTGGCGAGTGGGTCGGGATGGCGGGGTTTGTAGCGGCGGTGGCCGTGAGTGCGGCCGTTGCAGGAGGCCTCACCTGGTGGTGGGTCACGCGTGGCGATCCGTCCGACGAAGAAATCGACCCCGAGGGAGAGTTGCCCTCAAGTACACCCCGCGCTTCGTTCTTCTTCTTTCGTTTTCGTTCATTTTCGCTCTTTTTCGTTCTGTGCGCTGCCGTGGTGTGTGAAGTGGAGGAGGTATGGGCAGAATGTCCGGAAGAACTGGTGCGCAAGTACAAGCCTCAGCTGGCACGACTCGCGTTCACCAGCCATCACGCCCTGACAGAATCGCTAAGGTGTGTTCACAACAACGTGTTGCAAGGCTCAGGTATGGCGCCGCTGTCTCTTTGGCCCTCGGTCGGTGGTGCGGTGATGCGCGCACCTGTTGTGTCCTTGCTCGTTGATCGTGTCGTGTGCTGACGAGGTTAGTCTGGCAGACGAGCGGAGAAATGAGCTGAAGGAGGCGGGTTTGTGGCCTGCGCTTCTGCATCTGTTCCTTTCCCTAGCCCCAACCGGTACTCTTTCAAACCCCTTTATTGAGTCCGTATGCGTGTGCGTGTGCGGTGGTGAGTGTGTGCATGTGTGTGCGCGGCGTACGTGACACTCATGCGTGCGGATGATCAGAAACGGAAAAGCGGTTGCCGCAGCTCGGCCAGATCTGCTTCATGTTGTTCTCTTCCGCACAGATGTATGACGACGACGAAGAGATAGTGGGTCTCGCGTTGGCCATGCGGCACGCCCAGAGCCTCGCGGCGCAGTGCCCCGACATGACCGCCCAGCGAGCGTGCGTACGGCTCCTCAAGCAGCTGCTCAGTCTCCCGCAGGCCCTGGTACTCGCGAGGGACTCTGACATGGGCACGGTGTCCGCGTTCGCTCGGGCGCTCACGGTCGAGCCTCTGCCCGCAGTCGAGCCAGCCACGGATATGCAGGAAACGGCCCTTGTTGGAATCGTCAGGGCGTTCGGTAACCAGGGTATGCCTTGTGTGTGTGCGTGTGCGTGTGCGTGTGTTGTTTTTAAGGATATCACAGGACTGAAGAATACTCTCTTGCCAGACCCTGAGGGCTGGGCCGAGGAGGCGGTGGCGGCGTTGGTGCAGCAGAAGGGGTTCGTGGAGCGCCTGATGCAGATCTTCGAGCGCAGCACTCGCAGCCACGACGGCGACTTCGTCAAGCAGATAGAGACGCCCGTCCAGCTGCCCATGACCATCCTCTGGGTCGGCACAATCTACCTTAGCTACTATTGCAACGGTACGTGTGCCGTGTATGTGTTGTGTGTTGGATGCGTGCGTGCGTGAAATGTACCACCGATAATCCGTGTTGTGACTTTTACGTGATGTTGCACTGCAGCGGACCAGTACAGCTTGATCACCAGCAAGGTGGTGTCAAACTGGCTGATCACCGGCCTGCTCCGTTACCAGCACGCAGCAGACCGTACCGCCTGGAGTGTGCGGTACAACCTGGTGCGCATGTGTGCGAAGCTACTCAGCGTGAGAGACGAAGCCCCACTCGCTGCGGGCAGAGGGGAGTACCTCGTGCAGGCTGGCCGGTACGCTGCGACCCCTTTCTTCGCTTCTTGTCCGACTATGTAGATTATTTTGAATGACCAGGGTAGAGTATCGTGTGCTGTGTGCTGTGTGTGTCGTGTGCGTGTCGTGTGTGTTCATGAACAGCTTTCAGAGGCAGTTGCTCAAGCCGGTGAACGACTCGGATCTATCGGCCTTCGGCTCACTGATCTCCATGACGGTCAACCATGATCACAACGCCACTGTGGCTTCGCAAAGCGACCAAGACGAGTTCTTCTGCTACCTTTTTTCCGCCGTCTTGTCCATCTGCCAGGACAATCGTACCCACACCTCCCTCCACACACACACTCTCAAGATTCGTCCCCGTTTAGTACCCATAACACACACCGCACACGCACACGCACACGCACACGCACACGCACACGCACACGCACACGCACACGCACACGACGCAAACATGTATAGGTGATGCGCGTGAGGAGGCGCGCGCCAATGAGTCCTTCATGGAAGCCGTTCGTGTCCTGGCTCAGCCCTCCTTCCCGCCGACACCCTATTCAGCCCCACGCGCCCACTGCGCCGACACCCTACTCACCGTCTTCCAACTCCCGTGAAGAAACAGTCTCCAACTTGAGAAAAGGCTAAAAAAGAAACAAAGAAATTAAAAAAAAGAGTCGGTCCCGTGCGTGGTTGTTATCATAGCAGCGGAGCGCAGAGGAGAGGTCAGAGCTTGGTGGGGCTGCGGCCGCCCAGGTCGATGCTGCAGATGAGCTGGGCCACGCTCTCTTTGTAGTAGAAGGCTGAGCTGAGAAATTTAATTTTTAATTCTGTTTTCATTTTTTTTCCACCAACACACAGTGCACACAACAATGCTCAAGCTCCCCGGCATTAAACATGCACCAGGCCATAAAGGAATCGATGTCCCTTGTTGTCCTTCTGGGTATTTCATCCCCCAGGCAACTGGGGTGAGTCTCCTGCCGATCGTGTCCGTGGCGGTCCGTCTCGACAATCACCTGACGTACGCGTTCGATCTGTGCGACCTCACCGAGCTCAACTGGAAGAAGTCGGGCCTCAAGATTCCCGAGGACAACAGCATGCTGGTGTCCTTTGGGCGCGATTGCATGAGGATGGCGGGCCGAGAACGCCGCGATCATGATGTCCAAGATCAACCACGTCACGCTCGAGCTGGCGTTCCAATCCCACCACACCCCGAGGACTGGGAGGTCGAAATCATCAACCTCGGGGAGACATTTCCAAGGGCACCTGTTATTTCGAATACGCGACATAAAAACCAAAGCGTTCGTTCATTCATTTCACAACAACTCCCCCACCATGCGCCGAACACTCGCCTGCAGGACCCCGCTTCGAACGCCCCGTGCAACACGTCGCGCGCACGGTTTTACCGCAGACGCCCCTCGCCACCTCCTTGCCCGACCAGCTCACGCTCTGCACGCACGACGGAGTAGAAAAGATCAAGGTCTGTTTCGTGGGTGGCACCATCACGTTGTGTGGACGCCAAACCGCACTGTTCGATCGCGTGACCACTTCGGGCGACGGATCGAGCCTGCACGCGCACGGACGCGATCCGGAAGGCAAGCTCTGGTCGGTGAAACTTGGCTTTACGTCCAAAAGCGCCCATCCGCGCGCCGACTGCGATTGGGACGATATCGAACAGAAGAATCTGCGCGCTCAGGAATTCGAACCCCACGTGGAACCCGACACGAGCAAAGAGGTCATCCACGAAAAGAAGAAGAAGAAGAAGAAGACGATCGATGACGATGAGGTGTGGGTCGGAATCAAGGCTTGGTCCGGCGGCATGGCCGTTTTCGGTCTCTTTATCACCTGGCTTCGGTCCATTGATTGAATAAATAGCGCCCAGCAGCGACTTTTCTTCTTTCTCATTCACGCACGCATGAAGCGCAACACTGACACGCCTGACTCGGACAAAAAGCGGGTCAAAAGGATATCTTACGCGATGGGCATTGACAAAGCTGGTTGTGGACCCACCATCGGCCCCATGATCTACACCTGCGCGTACTGCCCGGTCGACAAACAGGAGGTGTACCGCAAGCGCAGGTATCGGGACTCCAAGGATGTCAAGCCCGTCGAACGCGATCGGCTCTTTGCGGCGCTGCTCGACGATCCCGATGTCGGATTCCGGTCGCGCATCGTCAGCGCCGAAGAGATCTCCAACGCCAACTACAGCCACACCGAGAACCGCAACCTCAACAAGGTGTCCTCCGACGCCGCCATGGGTCTCATCCGGGACGTCTTGGCCACCGGCATCGATCTCGCCGAGCTCTACGTCGACGCGTTGGACAACTGTGCGACCTACTGAGCGACCCTCCAGCGCCTCTTTCCCGGCATCCGCACCATCGTCGTGGAGAGCAAGGCCGACGTCAACTATCCGATCGTGAGCGTGGCCAGCATCGTGGCCAAGACGCTGCGGCATCACCGAGAATCTGCCGTTCAAAGAGCTCGGAATCGTCATCGATCGCAACTTCGGCAACGGATACCCGTCCACACCGGCCGTGAAAGACTGGTTGATGCGCAATCTGGATCCCGTGTTCGGATTGCCGTCGGCGGTGCGATTCAACTGGGGCCCGGTCGAGAAGCCCAAGACGAAATCCATATTTGAGACGCCCGTGGTCACTCGCCGATCGTGTACACCCAAAGATTTCTAGAATCACTTCTCCTCTTTTTTGGCGATGGCAGCATGGCGCGTACGGTCGGATCGACATCATGCACGGCGGGGGAGGGGGAGGCCGTCGGCCGGGAGCGAGGGGCCGGAGCGACGGAGAAGGACTCGTTGGCGGGGATGAAGGTGCTGCTGGTGGAGGACAACCTGATCAACCAGAAGGTGGGCAAACGCATGCTCCACACTCTCGACTGCCACGTCACGGTACGTCCCTCTTTTCTAATTTTCTAATGTATTTTTTATTATTATAAAATTAAGAAATAAAGAGTGGTGAAGGTGCTCAAGTGGGTAGATGACGACAACAGGTGGCCAACAACGGAGAGGAGTGCCTGAAGACACTGAGGCAGGAGGAGGGCGGAGAGAAGGCGGGCCGTTCGATGTTATCCTGATGGACTGCCAGATGCCCGGTTCGTGCGGCTCTCTCCGCCTCCGTGTTGCTCTAACATTCCACACGTTCCTCGCGCTCACGACCGTGATCCTGCAGTGATGGATGGGTTCGAGGCTACCCAACGCATCCGCGCCATGGCAGCTGACGCCCAGCCGCTGGGCTCGCCACCACGTGGCACGCGGTATCGTGGCTCTCACCGCCTCCGCGACCAAGGTACGCGTTTGTCAACCGACCGCCACCGTAGACTTTAACTGACTTCACAGCTCGTCTACGCACGCGCAGGAGTCTGCACGCCGGTGCCTCGAAGCGGGGATGTCGGACGTGTTGTTCAAGCCGGTCCGTCGCGAGGCCCTGGCGGCGGCGGCCCTTCGCAAATGGGGCACGACCGTCGCGGTGTCGGCGCCTCGCCCGCAACCCTGAAGCTGCGGGATGTCTCGGCCGCAGTCGCTGTCCGAGCAGCGAGAAATAGTGGATTACTCGGACGAGTTAGAGCGCGCTCGTGCGGACTGTCCTGGTCGTAGTTGGCCGAGCCCATCACGAGCTTCACGCTTGTCATCATCGAGATGACGTGAGGCCCTTTGTTCTTCTCCGCCACCGCACAAGGCACGATGTCGGCGCAACAGAAACGGAACTTGTACACCTTGGTCCACACGTGCTGCAAATCGCCGCCAAAATTTCCGCACCGGTTGCGCTGCGAGCAAATTACAGTGAAGGAGAAGAAGCTTCGATCTCAACGCACAACTTTCCAACTGCCGGCGAGCAGAGTAGACGAAGAAACGACGGACTCAAGATGGCGGCACAAGGAGGCTTCATCTCGTCGTACATCGATCTCTCCCCGAGCTCCTCGCGAGAGCTTCATTCGGCTGGAGCATCTGCTGATGGAGATGCGGATTCGCTCTACACGGCCGCATCTTCGGGTGCCAGTCTGCAGCACGAACACGATGCAGGTGGCAAAGGACATGCCCCCTACACGGACTCTCTCGGTGCCAATCTGAAACCCGAACGAGCAGGCCAAGAAGATAATTGCGCAGCTGAATCAGATGATGAAGATGACGAAGATTCCATTCCGTTTGTCTACGCTTCCTACTCGACGACCTGCCTGCTCAACGAATCTGGCAACCGCCCCAACAAGAAGCACGCTGGCAAGGTCGATGCCAAGCGCCGCCGACAAGAAGATTCAGATGACGACGAGACCAGCAGCTGCTACGCCGAGGTGAGCCTTGGCGACGAGGACTCGAAGGCCGCGAGCAGCACCTACTCGAGCATCTCGCGCTACTCATCCACCTTGGCCTCGCCGCGATCCATGGACGAGCTGCCCACCGCCAAGGGCCTCACCGGGTACTCCACCCCCGTGCTACACAAAGATGCGACGCGCGCCTACGAAGATGCCTACGTCACGGTGGGCAGCCTTCGCAAGGAGGGCTCGGCCGATGGAGACTACTTCCCCGTGCTGACGCAGGACGAGAAGAAGAAGACAAACAACACCAAGTTCGACCTCTACACGTCGGGCGAGATGAAGGCCAAGCTGGCCTACTTCGAAGACCAGATCGACAAGCAGAGCCTGGACGAGGAGCTGATGGTGCGGCAGAAGGTCGCCGCGCTGCTGGCCGCGCTGCCGTCGGCCAAGAGCCGCCAGCGCGTCGTGACGCAGCTCCAGAAGGGCACCAACGCGGCCGAAGGCGAGGACTTTGAGGTGCTCAAGCCCGTGGCGCAGGTCCAGAAGCAGCTCGAGGTGGAGCCGATCAAGCAGGAGAAGGAGTGGGCCAAGATGGGCGAGGGCCGGCAGTGGAACGAAGAGTACCAGCGTACGGTGGGCAAGGGCCTCAAGCAGCTCGTGGCCGAGGACGTGCGCGCCATCTCGCGGCTGAGCCACGACTTTGTCAAGCAGGCCGAGATCTACGGTAAGGTCATCATCAACGAGCTCAACGTACCCGACGAATGGTATGCCCTGCGCTCAATCACCATCAACCTCTCTCTTCTTCTCCTCTTCTCTCTTCTAAGACTCAGTTGTAGCTAAACGCGCTGATCATGTGTGGCTCCTGTGCGCAGGAAAACGATCAAGCCGGCCAATGTGGGAGGAGTAGCGGGCGGCGCCAAGTACATCGTTCAGGGCATCCTCTACAAGTTTTGCCTTGATCCCATCGTATCAAAGAAGGTTGGCTCCCTTCTCCGGTCTCACATTCCGCAGATGCTTACAACTAACGCTCGTGCTTTTATTTATATTACTTTTCTCATTTTGCAAAACAAAGCCGTTGGTGTGGCTCTACGGCGGAGAGCGACCCGACGACGACAACGCCATGAAGGCGGCCGGGCTCGAACTGCAGGGTCTCGGCCTGATCGCCACCTCGCAGATGACACAGCTCCACGTTCCGCTCATGGCCCTCGTATGTTTCTCCACCGCCTATATATTGTGCATCGTACACGGTTGTCCTGCTGACCACTAGTCTTTGTTGACTGTTGTGGTGGTGTTTTCATCGTTCCCTATCAGATTGACTACAAGGGCTTCAGGTTGATAGCCACGTCACTGCTTCCCATTGGGCCGGACACGCTCAAATACGGTTCGCAGTCCTTTTTATTATTATTATTATTATATAAATCTGACTAAATAATTAAAATAGATCTATTTATTATTGTTAATATCATTAATTCTGGTTTCCATAAACGCAGGCTCGAATGACGCGGGGCGGACGATCAAGACGGGCGACCAGGTGATGGACCATCTCATGCACGGACTCGGCGAGCACCTCAACCTGCGCAAGCACCTCGTCGGCAAGCAGCGCGTGCCCATCGTCGGTCCGGGCGACATCGAAGGCCACCTGGGCACCGACGGCCGTTACTACCTGCTCGACTTTGCCCGCCTCATGCCCCCCGAGACGCCCCTCCCCGAGTACACACGCTCTCGCCGCGTTCATTAGCGCAGTTCATGAGCTCCGCTCGCTCACTGACGCGCTCCTTTTCTCACAGTGAGGACGGTCACATCGACGGCCGAGGAGTGTTCTTCCGTATGCTGCGGCCCGAGCTGGTGCGGAGCTTCCGAGTCCCGCTCTCCTCCGACACCTTCACCGGGTTCGTAATTCCTTCACAGCAGCTCGATTTGAGCTCGATTGAAGCTAACCTTAGACCATTTGTGCGTGTGGTGCGTGTGTCAGGTGGGGGATGTACGATGAAAACCGCGTGGCCTACGAGCTCGACGTGCGCGAGGCGACGGACCTCATGATCAACGAACGCGTGCCGGCGGTCGCGGCGGAGATCAGCCAACTCTAGTACCATCCATCCATCCCCTTTGTTCGTTGTCTGCAATTTGCGACTGACCCGCATCACGAACCCACTTTTGTTTTCCAGCGAGGTGGAAACAGGCAACTGTGTCGATTTCACGCCTGCGCACCTGCAGCAGATCTTGGAGCAGCTCAATCTCGTGGCTCGGTACGTAGACAGGAAGTTGGTGTGTTAGTGTGTGTGTGTGTGTGTGTGTGTGTGTGTGTGTGTGTGTGTGTGTGTGTGTGTGCGTGTGTGAACAGGAGGGAACTAATCATCGTGATCGCCTGCCGCCTTCCTCTTTGTAGAATGCACGCACGAGGCGTGAATTTGCGCCACCTGGGCCGAATTCGGGACAAGATGACATCGAGCAAGGGCAGGAAGCTCCTCCTCTCTCTGGCGCTCAGCCGTGCCTTCAAGAGCAGGCTGCGGAGGCAGATGCGCAAGAGCGTCCAGAAGCAGACGCACGCCGGCGCGTCCTCCGAGGTACCAAACCTACATTACCATTCCCTCGTCGTCATCAATGACCTGCGGCTCAACCACACCTATGAACAGAGCGCATGCAAGGACGTGGTGGTCGAGTTCTTCAACACAGTGCTGGGCCACACGAGCAAGTCGCACAACTTCTGGCGCGTGGGCATCAAAGAAACGCTGAAGAGCAAGTTTCCGTTCATCCTCACTGAGGCAGAGAGCGACGAGGACTACAACCTGCTCGATGCCGGCTGTATCAAACTGGTACGTCAGCTCTGAAACAATTTCGATCTTATCATCATCGTTATCATCGGCTTCTCTGCCGAGCCGATGAAGCGCCGCGTTACGCGATGCTGACGTCGTGCATGTCGAATCGGATGCTCCGCACAGACGATCATGCTGTGCTTCAAGCTGGGCCTCGTCCGGTTCCCGACTGCGGTGACGGAGGCCATCTTCAAGGACTACACCGCCGTGCGGCTGCTGGAGACCGACATTCTCGACATCCCTGCCATCATCAAGCACAACCAGCTGGTATGTTTATTTATTTATTTATGGATTCATGACTAGTCACTAACTCGCGATTTCTGTCTTTGCAGCAACACATCTTCAACGGCAACATCTGCATGTTCGAGGCGGCTAAGGGCCAGCACAACTCGTCCGACGCGCTCCGACTGCTACGTCAGGCTCGGTACGCACGAACAGACACAACACAGCACAGCAGACACACAGCACCGCACACACACACACACACACACACACACACACACACACACACACACACACACACCAGGGTAAGATGGCATGGTCCTAACATGAACACCCGCGGTGCAGAGAGCATTTGATGACGGCCGCCAGCATGACCCCGTCGTGTCCCTACACCAACTGGGTGCTGGGCTCCATCGAGATCGACATCGCATCCCGCCTCCTGTTCGACCAGGAGTCCGAACGCCTCTTCACCTCCGCCTACGAGAGGTACCCTCATACGTTCTTCTTCGTTCTTCGTTCTTCGTTCTTCGCCTGACCTGGTGGTGTCCACAATTCGCAGGTTCGCGAGGTCGTGCGAGTTGGACAAGACCAACGCGGGACCGATCGGGTCGTGGGCCGACGCGTTGGACCAGCACGCCGCGCGCCTGGCTGCCAATGACGCCGACCCCGCGCGGGTGGCCGAGATGCGCGCCCTCGCCGGCGTTAAACGACAGCTGGCCGCCTCCAAGCGAGTCTCCACCTGCAGCCTCATCACGTCGCCCCGCCACTAACTTGTCTTGTTATTTGTTTGTTTTAAGAGTTGTAACATGTTTACACGTTAAATGAACCTAGAGTTAAATTCTAGGTGGGCGCCGGCACGCGCTGCCACTCACGCTGGCCTCCCTCAGTGACGACGCGGTCCCAGACCTTGTGGTCCCACTCGAAGCCGTTATTGAGAGCCCACTGACATTTGATGATGGTGTTGAGCCACTTTGGTAGTGGAGGTTGCAATGCATTTCTGTGTGTGAGCACAGACTGTGCTGGACTGAGGTCTTTCATGAGAAAGCCATGATGCAAGATTGACTGGACACTAGTAATGCAGTCACCCAGCATGATGATGACACAGTTGTTGATGTAGATGGGTATTATGATGAGCTCCTTGTTGGGTAGCATGTAGATGCCTGGTGCTATGAGTTGGCATGAAGATGTTCAGATGGGACAGTACCACTCAAGTGGTGCCTGCTTCAGGCTGTATAGGCTCTTGAGCATGCAACAAACATGCATGGGCCACACAGCATTGACAAATCCTTGCAGATGCTCCAGATAGAGTTCAACATCACTCTTGGCATTAAGAAATGCAATCTGATCCATCCAGGGGATGGGCAGCTTGAGAACAACAGTGAGTGAGGTGGTGATGTAGTCTATGCCCAATCTTTGCACATAGCCCTTGCCTACCCACCTGGCCTTCAGATGTTTGATGACAGTCATTTACAATCAACATGAAGTAGTGCCTGCAGAGAATGGCCCACACACACATCAGTGTGTGGCTATCCTCAGACTGCAAAGTGATCAGGTTGAGGTGGTCAATGCCCTTCCACAAAAGGGCAAGATTGGCAGTGATCCAAGTGTGGGGGGAAGTGTGTTTGGATCAAGGGCCAAAGTACATGAGACCCCTAGTAAGGGACAGTGTGAGAAGTCAGATAAGCCTGTCTGCTACTACTGTTGAAAATGTGGACACTACAAGGCCACATGCCCCAAGCTCAAGCTGGTTAAGTAACCTCTGTGGCTATTGAGAAGAAGAGGGTGGGTGGATGAATGTATGTATCGTATAGGGGGAGGGCCAACCAACCAGATGTTCTGCAGTGGGAACTTTTGGTAGTTGGTTAGTTGCTTTTGCCAAAAGAACACTTCTGCTTATTCTGGGTTCAGAGTTGAGCGGAGGATTACTTATTAATATTTTTAGAGGTTTATTTCTTCCAAAACAACAAGAAAAGGGTGAAGTAACGGCAAAGAAAGCAAAGAAGGAGAAGTGTTAGGGGTCCGGGGGGGGGGGTTTGTTGGTTTGTGTTTCGTCGTGAGCTCATCAGCCCTTGCGGCCGAAGAAGGACGAGACGCCCTTCTTGGCAGCCGCGCCGGCACCGCCGGCACCAGCGCCGCCCTGCTGGACCTTCTTGAGCTCGGTGTTGAGGTTGTCGTTGGCGGCCTGGGCCTCGGCCAGTGCGATCTTGGTGGCCACGAGCTGCTGCTCGAGGGTCTTCATCTCGGCCTGCATCTTGGCCAGGCGGTCGTCGGCCGCGCTCGCGTCGGACTGGAGGTCGAACTTCTCGGCCTGCATCTGCGCCAGGGCCAGCTTGCTGTTGATCAGCTGGTCCTCCACGTCCTTGAACTGCTTGCTCAGCACCTCCCTGTTCGAGCTCGACAGCCTCACCACACCACGCGCCGCGTCCGCTATTGTGTATCGTGTCGTGTTGTGTGTTGCGTTGTGTGATGAATGTCAGTATATTGCGCACACGCACACACCGCACACGCAGGAGACGAACCGGGAGCGTCGATTTGGTCGTCGCGGTCGACGTGCTTGAACTCGCACTCGCCGAGCTCCAGTCGCCAGCCAAAGTTGTTGGTGTCGAGCTCGCCCACCACCTCCTGCGTGACGGCGTAGCCTGCAACGCCCCCAACAATCGCCGACGGTCAGTTCACCGCCTCGCATGCGTGTCGTGTCGTGTCGTTGGTCGTGTCGTCGCGTACCAAACTCGGCGCCCTGCTGGATCTGGTCGGCGACCTTCTGGCGGAGCTCGGGGTTCTCCTTGTAGGCATCCAGCGCCTTCGTGGCCAGCGCGCGCACCTTGGGCCACAGCTCGCGGATGCTGTCCTTCAAGCTCGCCTCCCGACCCACCGACACCACCTAAACCGCAAAACGCGTCGTTTAGTCGCGTGCGTGTGCGTGAGCGGTGGTGTGTGCGCGTGCGGCTGTGCGTGTGCGGCGTGTGCGTTGACGTGCCTGCAGGCCCTGGAGGTGGGACACGAAGCGGATGGCCTGAGGAGCGCCGGCCGGGCACTTGCGGTGCACCTGCAGGCTCAGCAGGTGCGCGCTCTGCTCCATCGACGGGAGCGGACGCACGATGGCCGCCGCCGGGAAGCGAGGGTGGTCCAGCCCCGTCGCCTGCACCACCAGCCCTCCGTTAGTCCACTGCCCACCAACGACACGACACACGCACTACCGCACGCGACTAAACGACACGCTCGTACCTCGAAGGCCTTGAGTCGGATGGAGGCGCTCTGGCTGTCGCCGGTGTTGTCGAAGAGGGTCTCGAACCGCTCGAACTTGAGCAGCGCCAGGGTCGAATCGTCGATGGGCTGCAGCTCCGTCACCTCCTCCTTCTCCTTGTTCTCCTCACCTGCCCCGCCCCCGGGTGTCAGCCGACCCGCCTCATGTGCGCACCACTTTGTGTTTGTGTGCGTGTGCGGCGGTGGGGTGTGCGTGCGCGGCGGCGGCGGCGGTGGTACCGGTGGCGGGGGAGGTCAGGTCCCAGTGGTCGACGACGCCGGCGAGGGCGCCGGGCGAGGGGAAGTTGAAGAGCGCCTTGTCGATCCGCACGAACGTCGTCACATGGAAGCTGAACAAAACAATATTAATTAAATAACGAGATAAATAGCTAGCAACAAATAACAGAAAAAGAAAAAGAAAAGAAAGGAAAGGCGTTTCTTCTTTTTCGTACTTTGCGATGCCGTAGCGGATGGCGTCGACGATCAGCTTCTGCTTCTCGGCGAGGGTCAGCTCCTTCTCTTCGTCGTCGGCCTTGCGGCCGGGCTCGGTCGAGGCCGCGTCGGCCCCGCCGGCGGCGATGCGCATCATGCGGTTGACCTTCCGCCTCTCGCGCTCCTCGCGCTCGATGCGGAGGCCCCACGCGATGTTCTCCTCCTCCATGCGGTGCAGGTAGAGCAGCTGCGACGCCGTGATCCGCGCGTGCAGCTCGCTCGTGTGCAGCGTCAGCTCCAGCTTGTGCGTCTGGGACTGCATTGTGTGTTGCGTGTTGTGTGCGGCGTGTGCGGTCGCGCGTGTGCGGTGAGCAAGAGCGCGGTAGGACGGAACGAAGTGAGCGGACGGCGACGTACGTCGGTGGAGATGGGCGGGAAGTAGCGGCCGTAGAGGCGGAGGTAGGCCGGGTTGAGCAGCGGCGTGGCCGTGGGACCGCCTTCGGCCAGCTGCACCACGTCGCACGTCACCCGCTGCAACTCACACTGTCGAACAACGACACGACACGACACGACACACGCACCAAGAAGAGTGAGTGCGCCATCGCACGACACACAACAAATGACATGACACGCGACGAACCTGGAATTTGTGGATGGTGCCCTCCTCGGGGGTGAGCTCGTTGCGCTTCTCGGGGAGCGCGTTGAGGGCGTCCTTGAGGAAGGGCGGGAAGGGCCAGTCGGGCTGGTTGGTCACCGACAGCTTGCCCACCCCGAAGTGGATCGCGTTGTTGCGCAGCTCCGCCACGTTCGAGTCCGGAATGTTCGGCAGAATGAACGACGTCTCCGTCGCCTGTGTCGTGCGTGTCGTGTCAGCCGCACCGCCACACACACACCACACACACAACACGGGGGTGAGAGGGGAGTGGGTACGGTCATGTTGAACTTGGCGTTCATGTAGTAGAAGTCCTTGAGGTCGGCGAGGGAGCCCTCCTCGCGCTTCTGCTGGAAGAGCTCGAGGAAGTGGGCCGTCTGCTTCTCAAAGTCCTGCTCGAGCGGGCCCTCGACGATCCACGAGTAGAGGTCCTTCCAGACCTGCTTGTCAAAGACCACCTGCGCGCCGTGCATCGACACATGCGCCTCCACGGTGGGCACCCGCCGCTGGGTGGCCTCGTCGCCCTCCACCTTGGTCCTGTGCATCACGCGCGCCGTCACCAGCGACCCGTTCTCCGACGTGAACGCATCTACACGACACGACACGCACACACGACACGAGGTGAGCTTTTTGTGGTTGACCGACGTAGACTACAATTTGACTGTGGTTGACTTGGGGGGAGGAGGGATGACCGTCGCGCTTTTCGGTGTTCTGGGCGAGGAGGCGCAGGTACTGGGGCTCCTTGTCGGCGGAGGGCTTGCGCTCGCGGAAGGTGACGGCCGACACGGTGGTCTCCACCAGCGACTCCCAGCACTGCACGGGCTGATCCTGCCCTCGGCCGCCGAGATCTGTGCCCCGATGCCGCCGCAAATGAGCCATCGACTTGCGTGCGTGTGGGATGGTGCGTGTGCGCACCTTTGATGATGTAGGTGATGAGTCGCTCGGGCGAGAGGGTGAGGCTGAGACCGAAGCCAAAGAAGGTGAAGCCCTCGTCGCCGCCCTGCTGGCCCTTGAGGAACTCGATCACGAATCGGTGCAGCGTCAGACCGTACGACAGCCTGATTGACAAAATAGAAAACAAAAATAATGATTAATATACTTTTCTTATTTTAAAATAAAAATGATGATTAATAAATGAGGGGCGCACTTGTTGGCGCGGAGATCTTGGCCCTCGATGGTGATGGCCTCCGAGGCGGGAATCTCACGCGCGAAGCAGTCCCTGTGGCGTTGAGAGAGAAAAATAAGGTAAATGAAAAGATAAGGAAACAAAGTCGTGCCGTCAGTGCGTGTTTGTGTTTGGGGCGGGGGCGAGGTTGATGAGCGTTTGCTACGAACCGGAGAGCGAGGCTGAGCTCGGCGAGGCGCTGCCACTTGCCCTGGGTGAGGCTGAAGTTGAGCTCCTCGAACACCGCCTCGAGCGAGCTCGACTTCCACAGGTTCGTCTTGCCGTCGAACTGTGTGAGAATCTGTTGTTCGCGCGCCCAGTCATGTATTAGTTAGTTGCGCCCTCCCAGATTGCTACCGCGTGTGCGGTGGTGCGTGCGCGCGTGTGTGTGTTGATGCCAAGTTGGCCTGTGGACTGCGTACTCGGATCTCGATCGGCAGACCTTCGATGATGGGCACCTGCGCATTGAGGATTGCTTTAGTCGAGGGCATACCACGCGCGCAACGAGAAGCGATTCGAACACTGAAGCGCGTGGGGGCGCAGTGGCAACAACGTACGGGAGTGTCGGCGGAGCCCATGGTGGAGGAGATGGTGATGCTGGCGATCTTCATGAGCTTGTAGAGCAGACCCACGTTCTGCTCCTTGTCGAAGATCTGCGTCTGGGTGAGATCGCTCACGGCCTGCACGGTCGCACACCGCGCCACCTCATGAGTGTTGGACAAGGTGCCGAGCAAATGTGTCGCGTGTGTCGCGTGTGTGCGACGCTATGTGCGATGAGCGGACCTCCCACTTGGCGTTGGCGGACTGGACGACCATGTTCTCGACGTCGATCTTGAGTCCGGGCCTGCGCTCGGGGTGGAAGGGGTCGCGGGCCATGGTCTCCAGGGTCATGTGGCACTCCTTCACCTCGAGCTTCACGCCGCGCAGCATGTCCATCTTCTCCGCCTTCTCCGACACGCCCTTCTTGCCGATCACGCTGCGCATTGACAACACCCGCCCACCCAGCCGTAAGCCCATCACGTTCGTGTCGCACCGCACACGCACACGCACCACCGCACACGCGACACGCGACGTAGTAGAAGAGTACCTCTGGGCGAGGGTGCTGGGCATGGGCTTGACGGTGTCGGGCTCACGCAGGTGGAGATCGAGCCGCTCCAGGGAAAACGTGATCGGCTCTCGCTTCAGGTTCATGTAGGGCACCTGTGTAAAACGTGTTGCACACCACAAGTAAAAAAAGAAGTAAATAATAAATAACATTTACACAACGTGAGTAGTCTGGGGGCGCAGAGATGAATGAATTCTGCACAGCAGCCTCTTCAATGGCACTAATTGATTAAAAAAATAACAGCGGCATAATCGTAGAGCCATTTGTTGAAGAAAAAGAGGAACCTTGATATTGAGCTCGGTGCACTTGGCAGAGATAACCTCGAGATTGGTGGGGAGTGACATCAACTCCTGCAGCGCCTCGGGATTGAGCTCTGCCACATGAGACAATTAATTAATTTCGGTAAATTAGAGGATGGTCGGAAGCTCTCCTTCACAGGGATCGATAAGGTACCGAAATCCTTGACCTGGGCGGTGCCCTTCATAATCTGGAGCGACAACATCTCCTTGTTGAATCCATTAATGAACTTCTTGAGCGTAGAGCCCAGAATCTTCGAGACCAGGGCTTCCATCTTGTGTGTAGTCGATCTTTGTGTTGCCTTTTTTCAGATCACGTTCGCCACCAGATTCTTCTCGGTGTTCGGTGTCGCGTAGCCTCAAAAAAGAATGAAATCGCCCTATAATTCGTAATTATTTGCCAAACTCGAAATGTGTTTTGGAGTTTGTTTTTTTTATATTTTGTGTGGTGTATTGACAAGAAGAGGAAGAGGAAGGCCTCAGAAGACGGAGATGAGCGCGAAGCAGGCGTAGAGGAGGCCGATGGGGTAGGCGACGAGGATGTGCTGGTCCTTCATGGTGAGCAGGGTCACGAACATGAGCGCGGCCGAGTGGGTGCACCAGCCGATGCACACGACGGCCAGTACGTAGCCGACGATCGAGTTCATGCGGATGAAGATGGACAGGCCGGCGAGGCCGATCACCGGCAGGAGGCAGTAGCCCAGGATGCTGGCCGTCTTGTAGATGTCGATGCCCCGCTCGCTCAGCAGGTTCATCATCACGTAGACGCCCAGGCAGCCCAGCACGCCGATGCCGTAGATGTAGCCAAAGTGCACCTTGCCCGACTGCGACCGAGAAGCGTCAGCGACTCACAACAGAGCCCAGGGCTCGGCAAAGAAAAAGATGGAGGGAGGAGGTGTACCAGCAAAAGGATGGCACCCAGGAGGAGGCAGAACATGATGGGTCCGGCCAAGTCGCGGTCACCGATGATCTCTGCATCGAGGCGTGACATAGGATTGAGCACGGCCAGCGTTTTCACTCGAATGTGCGTAAGATTGATGCCCAGCTCTGCGCTCGCCAAGAAGATGAGGATGAAGATCAGCATAACGCTGCCTTATAAGATCAAAATCGATCCCTTCAAAAAGTGATTCAATTGGCATACCTTCGAGAAGTGGTGGCTCATCTTCGAATCCGCTGGTGTTTCCCTCCATGTGCCCACTCGAGCTCAAGCCCAGGGGTTGGCTCATGAATTGACCAGAGCCCTCAGCCCCTGCAGCATTGAAGTCGAATCCACCTCCTCCCGACATGCCATCGTCATCGCTGTAGCTCGTGGGGAAGAATTGAAGGCTCTGATCCTGCTGTGGGTAGCCATAACCCTGTCCTTCCATCTGCGCTGTGTTCTGAATTTAGTCGTCTTGATGGTATTTTCAATCTATTCGTTTAAAAAACGAACAGATAGCAATCTGCCACGTCAGCAAAAGGCAAGGACCGACCGCAACCCTCGAGGTCGAGCCATCCGATAGCGCGTGTGAAGCAGCTCGTGCGGGACAGGGAGCGTTCCGCCCACAGCAGCGCTCGACCCGTCCTCGCTGGCAACCTTCTGGAGGTGACCGCACCCTCGCGAGCTAAGACATCCAGCAAGGCTGCACACTCCGCGAAACGAGAGAAACGTTGGGTGGTGTGCTGCTTGTTAGAGAGTGCTCTTTACTGGGCAGCCATACATTTTTATCCAACTCCATTTTACTGGTCCACCTTTTGCACTCGAATGCTGCAACACCCGTGGCTGAAGTAACGATAGTCCTCCAGCTCATCAGTTGCTGGTGAGCCAGGAGAAGTCGGTGTTGGCCAGGCCTGTGGCGATGCTTGGTCCTAACAACAGTCACCTCCCCCACCACAATGATTCGGGAGTAATGGTGAGTTCTTGAATCAATTTCAAAAGAAAAAGAAAGAAATGAAGAACGGGTGGTGATGGGGGTAGGGACCGTGTTCGTTGTAGAGCTCCTGGGTGATGAGTGCCTCCTGCAGCTGCGTGCAGCTGCTGACCACCGAGCCGCCGAGCCACGCCCCATCCACGCCCTCCCCGCTCGCAACGATCTTCACCTTGCCGCCCAGCTCTGAGTCCCTCCACACCAAGTTGTCGTCATCGTCACCGTCCATCAGCACAGCAGCGCAGGGGAATTGATGTGCTCATTTGTAATGAGTAGGTGGGTTTGGGCGGGGGGCCGAACCAGTAGGCAGGAGCGCGACGAGTTCGCTGTGGAGGCGCGGCGCCAGTCCGCTGATCTGTGCGCTCCCGCCTGTGATCACGATATTCCCGCACAGCTGCTCCCTATTCGTGAGATGTATTGGCACAACATATGCGCGAACGTACACGTCAGCTTGCCAATTAAATTACAAGGAGGCGGGAGTGGGTTAACTGGAGGTCGGGGGCGTCTTTGAAGGAGTCGATGCTATGGGCCAGGCCCTCGTGCATGCCCTTCCTCGCCTCGTTCACCTCGTCTGCGTTGCACATGCGCGCGAGCAGTGAGTCGCTCAATCGTACTCGAAACGCACGACACACGACAACATGCCACATGCCACACGAACACGGGGAGCCACACAATGCAAATACCGCGGGGCGTCGTACCACACCACCGGTACATAAACTTGTGCTTGGTGGCCACCACCCAGTCGAGCAGCTGCGGTTGGAAGAGCGGTTCCACGCAGGCAAACCGCTCACTCCCCACCACCACTTTGCTCTCTGCACAATGCCATCAAGTTCAAGTAAGTGTGTCGTGTGTCGTGTGTCGTGTGTCGTGTGTCGTGGTCGGGTCGTGTGTCGTGTGTCGTGTACCGTCGGGCATGGAGTAGGGGCGAACGATGCGGTGGTGCTGCACCGACCTGTCGATCAGCACCAGCAGCTCGCTGGGCAGCACGTCGAGATAGGTGCCCCGCACGCGCGTACACTCGAAGAACGGCACCGGCTCGCGCGCGCCGTCGCGCAGCTGTCGCGCGGCAACCTCGCGGTCACGCTCTGGCGCCAGCGAACAGAATCCCAACGCGTGCTTCATTTCTATGTGCGTGCGTGTGCGGTGCGTGCGTGTGCGGTGCGTGCCACACGTGTGCAAGGTGTGTGTGAGATTCTTAATCGCGAGAAAGAAATGTGGGTGAGCTGTTGACGGGTACCATTGGCGACGCCCCTGTAGACTCCGCTCTCCTCGAATGAGCTGCCGGGCTGCTGCGTCAGGAGGTGGAGGAGGTGGTCTGTGAGCATCCCGCCGCCGAGGCAAGGCAGCCGCACCACGCCCTGCTCCAGCACCCTTCCTGTTTCGTTGTTGGTTTGGATTTGGGTTTGGGTTTGGGTTTGGGTTTGGGTTTGGGTTTGGGCAGGAGGGCGGTGCAGAAGGACCTTGAACGACGGGCACGATGTGGGTGTCATGAACACCGATGTCGACCACGAGGGCCGTCTTCTTCCCTAGCCACACGCTAGCCAACACTTGCTGTTTTGAATTCAAGTGTATGAAACGTATTGTAAGGGATGTTAGCAACAATAAAATCAACTATGAGGAGTCAAGAGAATAAGATGGACGAACCTGGTTGGCGGAGAAGAAGGCGGGCACGTTGAAAGTCTCCATGGCGATCTGGAGCATCTTTTCAAGGTGTGCCTGCGGCGTGAACGATGTGTGGCTCATCACCAGCGGATGCTCCTCTGGCGCTACCCGCAGCTCGTTGTAGAACGTATGGTGCCTGTCGCGTTGTTGTTGTTGTTGTTGTTTCTCTTTCTTATTAAAATATAAAACAACGCTTTAAAATAAAATCAGGAGCGTACCAGACGCGTTCCATGGCGTCGAAGTTAAGGATGGTCCGATTGTGCATCTGCGATACAACCAATTGATTGGTTGGTTTAACATTGGCTGACCAATACAGAGGATTGGGGGGGGGGCTGTAAGTACGGGGATCTCTTGGCGGAGGATGCCCCGCTTGGCGATGACTTCGTCGCCCACGTAGAACCACTTGATGCCCATGCCCACCGGCACCGAGTGACTGTGTCGCGGGTAGCCCACCACCGCCGGAATGCGCGACCGGGGCGCGTCATCTCCTCCAAACCCTGGAAGCATCCACCCCGCCCCTTTGAGGCACACGACACACGACACACGACGCACGACGCACGACGCACGACGCACGACGCACGACGCACACGAAAGAAACGAGAGGTACCGGCTTTGACGGTGTGGCCGCCATTGTCCAACACGATATAGGAGACGTCCTCCTGCCTGTAGTCCGCCTGTGGCGTCACGACGTCCCCGCCGACGTCCCCCAGCATCCACCGAAACGGCAGCCCGCCGCCGGTGGTAGTGGTGGTCTCGCGACGGTGGACCGTACTAGTCGACATCGGCGACGACGGCATAGTTGCGTGGCGCATGGGATGTAGATCGTGCGCCTCGTCGGCCACGTGTGACCGCTTCACGCTGTCGTCGACCGATTGGACGCACTTCTTCATCATCATCATCGGCGCTGCTGACGTGGCGACACGTGGCGCGCCTGAGGTGGTGGGTCCGCCGCGTCTGCGGCTGTGGCGGCGGCACAGGTCGTACCAGTCGAAGCGCAGCTGCATCGCCTCGTCCTCCAGCTCCTCTGCGGTGTCAGAGTCGTCATGCAGAGCGCGGCGGTGGATGCGCTCGCTGTAGTTGAGCCCGAGTCGACGGAAATAGAAGGCGCGCCACGAGGAATCGACGCGCAAGAGGCGGTAGAGCCGCTTGTCGGCGGCGCACATCAGCCGCGCGACATCGCCCGCGCCCAGGCGGCTCGTCACGCGCCACACGACCTCGGCCGGCAGCGCCGTGAACAAGCCGCGCGCGGCGACGTCATCGCCGTCGACACCATTGCCGACGCGGTGATGGACATTGTCGCTGGTCCGCTGCTGCTGGAGCTCGATGGCGGCGAGATAGGCCTCGACAAAGCCCTCCGTGTCGCCCTCTCGCAACAGCTCCTGTTGTGTGTGGAATGTCGGGCACGCGACGCATTGGAATGTGATCATACTTGTCGACTGGGAGAAGGAAGCGGCCACGTTGTGCGTGTGTGGGTGGTACCTCGGATTGGTCGTAGAGGGCGACGATGCGGCGCCACGCCGACTCGTCAGCCGACGACACGTGTCGCGGCGTGAGCGGAGAGTCGACGCGCCTGAAGATGAGCTCCGTGCGCAGCACGTACTTCACCCCCTCCGCCAGCCGAGCCCCCTGTGTCGTTGGTCGTGTCGTGTCGTGTCGTGTCGTCGTATCGTGAATACATAGAATGAAGTGGAAGTGGGCGGTGGTTGGGGTGAAGTGCCTCGTGGAGGAGGTCGTGCTTGAAGACCAGCGCGCGTCCGACCTTGGGAGTCACCGACCGCCGCACCACCCGGTCGTCGTCACGTGGCGCCGCATGCGGGCTGGCGCCATCAGGTGCGTGGGCGGCGGCAGCTGCGAGGAAGTTAGTCTGTCCGCCGTGGCAGGCGGGCGACGTGGTGGCGTCGTTGAGGTAGATGAGCACGGTGAAGATGCTGGCCTCGTGTGCGCTCGGCACCCACGGCCCGTCCATGTGCGCGCTGAAGTGGCACCCTGCGCAATCAATCGATTAATCAGTCGTTTCTCAGTTCCCGAGCTTGTGCGCTATCGAACACTGCCCTCTGTGGTTGGTGGCCCATGTTGGTGGAAAATGGACGCTACTACGCACCGGGGCGATAGCGGCCGATCTTGAAGCATTCGTTGAGGCTGCACGGCAACCACACGCCTTCCGTGCCTGGCCCCATCGGATTCCACAGCAAATCTGAACACGCCACACACGCCACACGCCACACGCCACACGACACGCACACACGACACGACCAACGACACGACCAACGACACACAACGCATTACCAAATCTGAATTAAAAAAAGTGGCTGGGCTAGCCTAGGCGTACCACGGCGATCGAGGGCGGGCAGGAGCCGGGCGAAGAGGCCGCGTACAATGTGCGGTGGGGCGAGGGTGAGGAGACGGTCGGAGCTGCGGTAAGCCTGCGGGAAGACGGTCTCGAGACTGGCGAGGCCCACGCGCTCGGCCTGGTCGATGTAGTGGCTGCACTCGTCGGCTGTGAGCACCTCGTCCACCACCCACGCCTCTATGCGGTCGGCATTGGGCGCCCCAACATCGCCCAGGTCGACGCGTCTCGGTCCTGTGGTGGGCGCCTTCGCTTTAGGTTTGGCAGAGCAAAAAATAAATAAATAAATAAATAAATAAAAATAAAAATAAAAATAAAAACACAATTCTAAAAGAAGTGGAAAAATGGAAAGGGGGGTGGACGTGGGACGTGGGTGCGGTCAGGGGAGAGGGAGGGAGGGTGGCTGATGGGGCTGAATTGTTGTTTCCCTGTGCTGCTCTCTTCATGATCACTCATCGTCAGCTTCCTCTCTTGTTTTGGGTGAAAAAGAAAGATGGTCATTGGGCGAATCACCATTTTTATCTTATTTTCCGTCACACAGCCACAACAGCTCACGGACCACCTCTTCCACCTCCTGACGCAGCAGCCTGGCAGCTACTTGAATGGAGCCGACAGGACCGCCGTTAGTGGTGCCCTTCAACTCACCAGATGTTCAAGATTGCAAATTTCACATCTCACACACCGCACGCGCACGCACAGACGCACACACAGACGCACACACACGCCCGCGCGTGAACAGATATCTGTTCGCTAGCGCCAGAGCGTGACCTCTAGGTTGCCGCGCGACAGCTGCGCAACTGCGCGCGCGAGCCGGTGCCAGGTGGTGGTGGGGAGTGAGCGGTTTGACTGCGTGGAACCGCTCTTCCAGCCGCAGCTGCTCGAGTGCGTGCCACCATCTCCAGCCAGCACTGGTGGTACGGTACGGCGCCACGTGTTGCGTGTGGTGTGCCACCACTCTCAATGTCGCTCCTGTTGTGTGTACCGTGCGTCTTCCCGTGCGGTGCTGCAGACGAGCTGGGCGGCAAGGTGAAGATCGTTACGAACGGATAGGGCGTGGATGGGGCGTTGGTCGGTGGTCAGCAGCTGCGCGCGGCTGCCGGAGGGACCGTCACCCAGGAGCTCTACAACGAACACGGTCCCTACCCCCCATCATCACCCTTTTCTTGCTCATCACTGTACTTTGGACTCACTTGCACCCTCTCAGGCCTGAGCATCGCCACACGCCTGGCAACACCGACTTGTCCTGGCTCACCAGCTTCTGATGAGAAACTCGTGTGCGTTGCATTGCGCGTTGTAGAGTTGTTTCCTACACATAACGTGCATTCATCCTCATCAGTTGCCTGACCATCAGAAGTTGACCTCGGGCCGTCCTCCGCCGACCACCTTTGAACCCTTGCCCTCCTTCTGCCATTGCTCGCCGCCCAAATTCTGGCTGCACAACACACAAGTGAGCTGCTGGGGCTACCGACCGAAAAGCCCTTTGGGGGGGGGCTACGCGGCGATGCCCTCGCCAGTGTCGCCGTGGATGTCGGGCCGGTCGCCCATGCCCGGGTGCTTGCCCTTGGCCATGGACTGCTCCTTGTCCTGACCGAGCTCCCTGTTGCGTCCTTGCTTGGCGTGCTTGTGCGGCTCCTCTGTAGAGCCCCCCCCCCATCATGTAAGTATGAACAGAACTGTCGCGGCGTTTTTATAGGGATTGGGGGGGGGCGTACGCTCGCCCTCGCCCTGCATCATCTTGGTGCCGCCGATGGACTGACCGGAGCCCTGGTGCATGTGGGTGAGGTCATCCTTGGTGAGCGATTCCTGCGTGGCCATCTCTTCTTGCTTGTCTGCTTGCTTGTGCGGGGTGTGTTGTTTCAAATAAAACGTCGAGCGGTTGGGTGCGCTGTTTTGAACGGTCGTGCCGCCTTGAACTTGAGCCTCCGCCCAGCGTCTGTTGGCATTTCGATGAGCGATTGGGAGACTTCTCCACCATGCACCCCCGCCTGGTTGCCTCGTCCTTGCCGCCCGGGCAGCGAACACAAATAATGTCGACCACACACGCCTATTCCCGCACTTGTTGGCGGAGTTTTTCATTGGCTCACTGTTTAAATTTCGGCCACTCCCCAAAAAATGGCACAACAACGCTGTTGGAATGAAATGGCATAATAACGGCAGAACAAAAGAAACAGTTCAGTTCACCTTGACTACTCGGCCTTGCGCACGAGGAGGCCGATGGGGCAGTGGTCGGAGCCGAGGGCGTTGGGTCGCACGAACGACTTGTCGCACTCGGGCAGGAAGTCCTTGGAGACGACAAAGTAGTCCAGCCGCCATCCTGAAGTTCCATCATCACGCCAACATTGATTGTTATTATTCATAATTATTGATTAATAATAATCATAAAAATAATCATAAAAATAATCGACGAACCGAGGTTCTTGGCGCGGCAGTTGAAGCGATTGGACCAGTAGGTGAACTGCTGCAGGTCCGGGTTCTGGTGCCGGAACTGCTCCAAAACACGTGCGATGGTGAGTGACCACCTAAACTGCCTTGCATTCCACGGCGATGAAGGTGGAACGAGCGGCGGGGGGGAGGGGGACGCCGTACAGTGTCGACGAAGCCGCTCTCGAGCAGCTGGCCGAAGTCGCGCCTCTCCTCCTTGGTGAAGCCCGCCGTCTTTTGCTGCATTTACACGATCGATCAAGAAATCGAGAGTGAGACCAACACAAGAAGAAGGCTCAGCATGCCCCGGAGGGGGGGGATAGGGGTGAATCGCGTACGTTGGTCTTGGGGTTGGCGATGTCGATGTCGTGGTGAGCCACCTGCACCACGTGGAGGGATAACGATAAATACACAATCACATTATTATTATTGTTGTTGTAGAATGTATTGTTATTATTTATCCTGGAGATATGGAATAAATCGTGGTCGGGTGCACGTACGTTGAGATCGCCGCACCACACGACGGGCTTGGTCTGCTCCAAATTCTTGAGATAGGCCAGGAAGTCCTTGTTCCACTCCTGTCGGTACCCGAGCCTGTTGCATTCATATGTTCATAGCAATGTGTCGTGTGTGTGTAAAAGCGTCTACACTGATCATAAAACCGGTTGCGAACCAGCTTTGGGCTTCGTTGTTGTTGGGGACCTGCGTACCGCTCGAGTTTCTGGCCGGCGTTGGGGATGTAGGTGTTGACCAGGTAGAAGCGGTCGAACTCGGTCGTGATCACGCGGCCCTCGCCGTCGTGCTCCGCAATCCCGATGCCGTACGTCACGCTCACTGGCTTGACCTTCGAAAACGTGCTGACGTGGCGCAAATAAATAGAAATAGAAATAATCACACACGTCAGCAGCCATCTTAAGAAACGTTGTTGTGGACCAAAGGGCGGGCGGCGTACGCGGTGCCGGCGTAGCCCAGCTTGTTGACGGAGTGGTTCCAGTACTCGTGCGGGTAGTCGTTGCCCAGGAGCTGGGCGATGGCGGTCGAGGTCTGGGTCTTGGTTTCCTGGAAGCAGATCACGTCCGGGTCCTCGTCGCGCACGTACTTGACCAGGTGGCCCTTCTTGTGTACCGCGTTGAGCCCGTTCAAGTTCCACGAAATGAGCTTCATGAACTTACTGTGCGCGTAGCACGACAAGACACACGACACACGCACACGCACACGACACGACACAACACACGACACGAGCCAGGGTAAGAAGGAGGCGCTGCGATGAGGGTGTGGGCTGCCGTACGAGTCGTCGTCGGTGACGGGCGGCGCCCAGTTGCCCTTCTCGTTGGGGACCCAGGCCGCGGCCGCGGGCTGCCGGCGCGGAAGAGCGAATGAGCAAAAAAAGAAAGAAAGAAAGAAGAGAAAAGAGAAAGAGAAGGAGTACTGTCGCGGCCGTCTTCTTGCTCTTCTTGGCCTTGGGCTTCTTTTCCTCTTCTTCTTCTTCGGAGGAGGAGTCGGAGGAGTCCTTGGAAGACTTTTTTCTCCTTTTTCTCGCTCTCTTCGTCATCGTCGTCTTCGTCATCTTCTTCGTCGGCCTCCTTCTGCTTGCGCTTGCCGGCGGCCTTTCTCGGGGTGGCTGCCCTCGTCGCGGTGGCGGGCGAGGCGTTGCCGTTGCCGCCGTTCTCGAGGCGGGCCACCAGGTCGGCCTTGCGCCCAGTCGCGCTCAGACCGCGTGCGCGCAGCTCCGTGCGCAGCTGGTCCACCGTCATCTTCGACCAATCCTTCTTGCTCTCCTCCTGCAACGAGCGCCACAAACTCGTCAATTAGAGATATTGCGAAAATCGCCATTTGATTATTGTAAGATTTCTTGTAGTGAACCGTCTTAACAGATCTTTACATCACATGCAGATGCTGAAGAAGCGAGATGGGTACGAACCGTGCTCATGTTGTTGATCTGTGGTGGAAAAAATACAACTTTAGTTCAGGCAGTTTCGAAGAATGAAATGCATTTTTTATTGTGATTTTAAATTAAAATTGGTAGCTGAGATCGAATCCGGCCGTGGCGGCTTCACATTTGCCACAAAAGTGAATTGGGTTGCCCCAACAACAAACTGGTTTGCGTGAGCCCATTCAGATACAAATCGATTTTGGATCATCACCAAACCTCTGGAGGGTGAGTGGTGCGCTGTTGAAGGAAGAAGATAGAACAGGAGACGAGGATTAGAAGGTGAGAAAGGAGAAGATGCAGGCAGACTACGAACTACACAAGAAGTCGCGCAAGACGCTGAAGAACATGGGCGACCTCAAGGCGGCCGTCCTGTGCCCTGACAAGGAACATCTTGACGAGTGGCTCGCTGTACACAGTACGTCGCCCCTCCTTTCTTTTCCCCATTCCTCAATTCAAATATACTTCGTTCGCGAACAGGATCACATCTCCATTCTCAATCTCCCCTCCAATTCTTTCTCATTTGTGTCGTGTCATGTAGCGGTGGATTTCTTCAATCATGTGAACATTTTGTACGGAAGCATTGGCGAATTCTGCACTCCCCAGACCTGTCGCATCATGACCGCTGGACCCAAGTACGCCATCTCGAACTGAGATCTCGAGAAGAACGAATCGCTCAGCTTGCGCTACGAGTTCAATCTGGAATGACACATCTTGCTAATTGTCTTCTTCTTCTTCCATTTCTCTTAGATTCGAATACCTCTGGGCGGAAGATGGTTCAAAGAGACCTGTGAAGTTGTCTGCGCCTGAGTACGTGGAGAAGCTCTTCACATGGATTCAAGGCCTCATCGATGATGAAAACATCTTCCCCGTCCAGCCTGGTTTGTGCCCCTCTTGCCCCCCAAAGGCCTTATCCTACGCGCAGCTGTTGTTCGTTGGGCTGCATAGATCTGCTGACCCACATGACCCTCGCGCGCATGCACACCACAGACGCTCCCTTCACCAAGAACTTCCGAGACACGATAAAGCAAGTGCTCAAGCGGTTGTTCAGGGTCTACGCCCACATGTACTATCACCATTTCGACAAGATCAGGGGCCTCGGCGAGGAGGCGCACATCAACACCTGCTTCCAGGTACAGGCTCCATTCTTCTTCTTCTTCTTAGCTCAGCATTGCGTTACAACTGCTATGCGCGTGACGTGAATACTGAACAGCCAACGTGTTTGATGTTCTCTCTCTCTCTCTCTCTCTCTGCAGCACTTCTTTTTCTTCGTGGACGAGTTCAAGCTGATCGACAAGAGGGACATGCTTCCACTTGAAGAGCTCACCGCCAACCTGTGCCTTAAGAAGTAGAGGTGTGTGGAAGAGTCGGAGCGGAGGAAAAATACAACAACAGAAACAGTATAAACAGAGCAGCCAAGCCTCCACGTGCTCACCCCTCTAATCGACACCTCTTCTTCTCTTCCTTCTACTCCTTCTACTCGGCTCTGATGCGAATGTCAGCCCATGCCGCACGAGAAGCCGGCGTAGAGGCCGCCGCAGAAGTTGGAGTAGTACTCCCACTGCACCACCGCGCCACTTCCTCCGCCCGCCACCAGGAACCTGCACCCGGCGTAGCCGCTTTTCTGGGTAGTTTTGTATGCGTTGCAGTGGAACAGGTTGAGAGTGGGGAACCACAAAGCCAACAAAAAACAACAAAACTGCTCCATTATTTAGAAAAGAGAAGGGGGAAGAAGTACCTCGAAGAAGGGTTCGTGCCACAGAGAGATCTGGTCGCAGTCCACCAGAGCGGCCAAGGCGCCAAGGGCGTGCTGGGCCGATGGCACGCACACTTCCACCTTGGTCTTTGAATAGAGCTTGATCGTCTCGTTGGCTGCGTGGCAAAGACAATAAGAATGATCGTCTTTGAGTGACGCCAAGTCCATAAAGGGAAACACGCACGCACGCTCACGCACGCACGCACCTCGAATGATCTTGTCGAAGTCGGCGACGGAGGCGACGGGAACCAGCCTGCTGAAGGAAATCCGGCGTGTGGCCGGCTCGCTCCAGTCCTCCCAGGCATCAGGCTCGCACTCCCGGCCAAACGGGTTGATGTCGGCACCAGCAGCAGGTACCTCAGGCGGTATGGCCACCGCCTTATCACTAAGCGCGCTAGCCATCACCACCGGCAGCTCATCTCCTATAAACATCACGATCTATGTTCAACAATTGGTCGCGTGTGTGCGCACACAACACCGCACACACACACACACACACAAGAAACGTACGGAAGGAAGATAGTGCCTTGGGGAGAGGGAAGAGGCGAATGGAGGCGCAAACGGCCATGCGGGGAGCGTCCGGGTGGAACACCTTTTCGAAGGCGGCGATCCCGGCGAGCGGCGGCCGCGCGGCGTGCTGGGCCATGCTGCGGGACACCATCGCCCAGCAGGCCGCTCGCTGGGCCGCCTCGCCCCCACTGCCCCCCCTCGTTGGCCGGTACCACTGCACCCAAGCGATCGAGGAGCTTGGCCATGACCAGGGTGCGGTCCATCACCACCCCATACAGCCAAGCACACGTCTGCCCGAGCACCAACAGAGACTCTGCAAGCCCCCCCCCCATAGCACAATAGCACAGGCCCTGCATCGTCAGCTACACTGGCGCTACACGCGCGTGTAAGAATATTTCGATAAATACAAAACAAAAAAAAACAAAAACAAAGCAAAACACAACACCTTGGTGGGGTTGGTACTATAGTCAAGGAAGGCAAGGAGGGCCTGGAGGAGCTCTGGAGGCAGCTGCGCCAGTGGTCCACTTGTGTCCCTGCCCTCGCCCTGGTTGTGGAGCTCGAGGGCGCTGCGAGCCTTGGCATCAACGGCCTCCTTCAGGAGAGGCGACCATGAGGTACCGGCCTTCTGTTCTGCCTGCCGCTGCTCTTCCTGGGCCAGGAGGGCAATGGGGGAGATGCCTCCCTCAAGCAACTTGGCCATGCTGCCACTTGCTTGTTGTGTAAAGTTACAGACAAACTCTTTGCTGGCTCAAGTGCTGAGCTTCAGTGAATCTTGTTTGTTCTTCTCTTGCCACCTCACTGGCAAGGAAGAAGAGAACTACACATCCCTGGCGGTGGGCTTGGTGGCGGCGGTGGGGGCACCACCTCGTGACAGGGGAAGAGACGAGAAGGACGAGGAGAGGCGCATGGTCGATGGCGAGGTGAGCGGCGACGGCCCCAGCGAGGCCGGCAGTGAGGTGGGCGGCGTGCTCTCGGGCGTGGCCGTCAGCGAGGGCGACGGGCAGCGCGAGCGACGCGCGGCGCAGCATCACCATGTCCGCGATGTCGTGCGATGCCGACGACGACAGCGACATGTCGGGCAAGACCTCCTCGCTGCTGCTGCTGTCACCCTCGAAGAGCGAAGACGAGGGCAGCGGGAAGTGGGTCGCGAGCGCCGTTGATGTCGTTGTTGTGGTCGTCGTGGCCGTGGCCGTGTCTGTGGCCGCCGAGCCACCACCACCATCGGTGGCGTCCTCCTCGGGCGTGGTGTTGGCGTTGTTGCGGGTGAGGGGCGCTGGCGAGGCCAGGTGGAATCGCGCCTTGAGGTCCATCAGCCGCTGCTCCTGCTCCTGCCGCTCGCGCTCCATCTGGTGATCGGTGGTCGGCAGCAGCCCACCACCACCACCATCGACCGGCGCCGGCGCTGTCGACGCCGAACTCGTCGCCGGCTTGGCCTCTTTCTCTTTCTCTTTCTCTTTTTCCTCCTCGCGCAGCTCCGCGGCGAGGAGCTCGGCGATCTGCCGCCGGCCTTCTTCGCCCAAGAGCTCCGACAGGTCGCCGATCGGCGGCAGAATGTCGCCTGTGAGGCCCTCGCCCTCGTCGTCGTCCGACCGCGTCGACCCGGCAGCAGCGAGGGTGTGCAGGGTCGGTCGCGCGTGGGCGGTGGCGGTGGTGGTCCGTCGCGGTATCGCGGTGCGACGACGATGGCCGTGGGCGCTCTCGTCGCTGCTCTCCCGCTCGTCAGCCGACGTGGCGGCGAGGCGGTGGTGGTCAAAGTCGATCTTGGGCAGCGACTGGGAGCGGGTGTGGAGACCGGGTCGCAGCGGGTGGCGCTGCTGCTGCTGGCGCGGGCTCTGGAAGTTGTGCAGCAGGAGCTGCTCCTCCCGCTTGAAGGTCTCGAGCTCCTTGTTGCCGTGCAACATCACCTGGCTCAGCCTTTTCTGTTCACTGTAGCACACACACAAGTCAGGCCGATGATGTTGTCGACAATGGCGATGGTGATGACGATGGAAGATGATGATGATGATGATGAAGATAATGGTGATGGCAATGGTGGTCGACGTACACGTAGGTGAAGCCGATGTAGTTGAGGTATCGGTCGATGGTGCCCCACAGCTTGCGAATCCACTTGAAGGTGCGCTTGATCACGTAGCGCGGGGTGCCATCGAACTCGGGGTCCAGTCCCTTGCTCCGGTCTTCGACGAAATACACACCACCGCACGCGACACGCGACACGCACCACCGCACACGCACAAGGTCAGGAGGAGAAACAGGGGAGGGGACGACGAGGAGTGCGTGGTGGGCACCTTCGATCTGGATGAGGTGCATGCAGGGGGCGAGGTAGGTCTGCGACTTCTCGTAGTCGTCGAAGATCTCCTCGTCGCTCAGACCGCAGGTGGCGAGGATGAGGGCCGCTATCAGGCCCGTGCGATCCTTGCCCGACGAACAGTGGAACAGCACCGGATGGTTGCGCGGGTCGCTGCAGATTCGCATGATCTGCGCGTGTCGTGTCGTGTCATGCCGTGTGTCGTTGCCAAGACCGCACACGTGTGCATGTGTGTGTGTGTGTGTCGCTCGATTTATTATAATATAAGGCGTACCTTGAGAAGGGTGGGTTGGGAGAAGATGAGCAGCAGGATGGAGTAGCGCGTGAGCCCGCCGGGGTTCATCACCTCCTGCACGAAGGTGGTCATCGCGGCGTGCTTTCGTCCCGTCGAGGTGGGACCCGGCTGCAGGAACGCACGCAAGACTTTTTTCTGATCGCACACAACACATGCACCGCACCGCACCGCATGCGTGAGTTTTATCATCGTCGTCGTCATCGTCGTCGTCATCACTGAGCTTCGTACCTTCACATCGCTGGGAGACGGTAGAAGGAAGCCCTCCAGCATCATGCGGGTGTTCATAAGGTTACAAGTGAATCGCTTTCGCCTGTGTGTGCGCGTGTGTGTTGTGTGCGTGCGTGTTGTGTGTGTGTGTGTGTGTGTGTCGTGTGGCGATTGAGAACGTTGTACAAAAAGTGGAGGTCACCACCAGAAGCACGGGGCGCATGTACCGTGCAGTGCCAATGATCCGGCTGTCCTGTACTGTGGGGAAGGCGCGCTCCACCAGCATATCGAACGGATCGGCTCTGCAGTGGCCGTGCGGTCAGGCCAGCTCAATGGGCGTGATGGCTCTCAAGCGGAGTAGGGGGTACCTCTTCTCGCCTCGCGAGCGCAGGTCGACGATCGTACGAATGCGTGCGCCCTTGATCCACCACCTGCCCACCCGCGCGGTACATATAATTATTATCGCTAATTATTTCGCCGATTTATTTATTCGCTTTATTTTTATTGCCGATTATTTTAATTAAAATAAACTATTTTGATTTAAAAGAAATGGAATGTACGTGAGGATCTTGTGCACGTCGTCCTTGGTGACGTCGGGAAAGCCGCGGCATGTGGCAGCACTGCGCCATACGAGCCCTGCCTGCAGCCGTTTCCTGGTGGGACGATTTGCGGAGGATTGAATTAAAGAGAGATTTGGAGCATAAGGAGAACATTGAACGCCGGCACTACGTACGAGGTTGAGGCGGTGGCAAGATCGCGACAGTTGAAAAGAATGGGCTTGATGTTGCAGATGAGGAGCGCATTTTCCTCATCGTACGAGCACTCTTGCTCAAACACGGGCATGGGCTCCTCCTTCTTCTCCATCCTCTTTCCTTTCTCTTGCACCTCTTTCTCTCTCTCTCTTTTGTTGAACGTTCGCTTTCCGCTGGTGTCTTTCCTTGAAACCGTCGTGTAGCGGTTGTTGCGTCGGCTCGGCTGTTCGCGCCACACAGAAGCTCTACCTGGAATGTCAGTAATTGCTACGAATGAATTGGCTCTACACGCCACACAACCCTTTGCTGAGTGTTTAGGGGTTGAAAGAGGTGATCATGTTGCATTTGTTGTTCTTGTCTTCTCGTTCTAGGCAGAGGTCTTGGTGGTGGTCGTTTCGTCTTCCTTGCCCTTACCCTGTCCCTGCACCAGGCCCTGCAGCATGCACAGCTTGGAGAAGCCCTGTCCCACAAACTGGTTGATCTGATCGCAGTAGTTGTTCACGCGGCCCGTGATCAGCAGGTTGTCCAGCTGGCTCGGCGGCTGCGGCAGCGGTCTGCTGTCCTCCTCCTCTCCCTGTTCATGTTCATGTTCGCGTGTTCGTGTGTTGTATCGTTAGCAACAAAGTGAAAGAAGAGGAATTCATCACAAAGAAGAAGAGAAAAGAGCAGGTGAGAAGAAGTGAGAAGAAGCTGAAGCCATACCCTCCTCTGTCTCTGGTTCTTCTGGTAGTACTGGAACTTCTGGAACTTCTTCTGCTCGTTGTCCAGCGCATCAATCGACTTGATGAGGTACCTCATGCCTGATGTGGTGTAGGAGCGGGGAGAGAAAATGAGAAGGAGTGCAAGCAGAGGATGAAGTGCAGTAGAAGTGACGTGAAGTCAAAGGATGTGGTTCCTACCCTTCTCCAAGAAGGCATCGCTCGACACGTCCGAGAGACGATCGAACTCGGCGCCCCGATCCAGGAAATCGTTGTCCTCGAGCTCGGCGAGGAAGGCCTTGACGAGGGAGATGTTGCTGATCTTGATGGGGATTTCTTCAAAAATGGTGTTGTACGAGAGACCGGCCCGGGCAATGCTGCATTGTTGAAGCAAGGCGTTGTTTACCGTGAGCGAGCGTACAAGCACGTACCGCACGCACGCGCGCACACACGACACACACACGAAACAGCCCTCGCTGTTGAGTGGCGGTGATTACCTGGCAGCGGTGAAGTCCTCGTTCTGGTAGAGGGTGATGAAGGCATCGGACAGCCGGTAGGCCTTGAGGGACAGCTCGCCCTGGTTGGTCTGGCCACACGAGCCAAAGCAAGAAAAGAGAAAGAAGGAAAGGCTAAGCAAGCAAGAAAGACAGAAGAGCGGCCAAAAAGAAAGGGATCGATTCGAAGTGAAGTGAAGAGTACCTTGAGGGGATCGTAGACCACGACCACGCATTTGCTGATGGTGGTCTGGTAGTTGAACTGGTCCTGGATCAAAGACTCCGAGAGGAAGGAAGAGAGGTACGTGGACGTGTACCAGCCCACTGTGTTGTTATCCACGTTCACCTCACGGAGATGACGCATCATTTCTGATTTTGCGAAGCGTTGTAAAAAAATTAGATCAGAATTGGGCCAAATTTGCAACAATTTGTTGGCCGATTGGGGGGGGGGGAGCAGATGTGCCGCGTACCGAGCGAGTACTTGGCACCCGACTCGGCCTCGTCGACGGAAGCCTCCTCCTCGCGCTGAGGGAAAGGGAAGCTGTTGGTCACCTCCAAGGTGGAGTTTACATCGAGACCCAGAAGCTGGCCGGTCACAAGCTCGGGCAGGTTCTCACGGCAGTGCTTGATAATCTTGAGCACAACCTGTTGCCCATTGATTCATGGTCGATCACACGAAAATTGTCAACATTGCGCTACATCGGCATTCATGTGGGCCGCCACTGCGACCGCAGCAATTAAATTGAGAAAGAAGTAAATGCAGAAGCGCTAATGATGCAGTGAGGAAACCCTACCAGGCCGTCAATCTGGACGAGGTCGACCTTGGACTGCTCATCGAGACCGTAGTGGCGGGCGGCCTTTTCGAGCTCCTCATAGCTCATCTGTGAGATATCCTTGGTGAGGAAGGCGTCCATCTTCTTCGTCGACGACATTGTGGGCACGACAGATGATGCTGATCGATCCACACAAAATCCGATTTTGCCGGCGTTGCGCCCAGAAAAACAAAAGAAAGAGGTCGCGCACAAATCGCGCAGCATCGAAAAAAAGTAATTCTGTTATTATAAAAACAAAATAAAAACAGAACAACCTGCAATAAAGATGGAAGACGAGGAAGAAGGGCAATCTGTTACCGAAGAGGACGACGACGTACTTCCAGATGAAGTGTGGCTGTCCATCTTCCAATACTTGTCCGACACCGACTTGTTGGCGTGTTCGCTCGTCTGTGGGCGCTGGCACCTTCTCACACAGGACGCAAGGTTCATACCCCCCCCCAACCAAACAACCGACAGTGAACGCCTCGAGCCCATGTGAGTCGTTGCGCATCGACTCACACTTGTGTCTCTCTTTCCTGCGCGCTCAGCATCTGGAGGTACGCAGTGTTGGCCTGTGTTTGGTACTCTTCTCAGGCGCGTGCTGCTGTGTGTCGTGTCGCGTGGCGTGTGGCGTGTGGCGTGTGGCGTGACGCTGGTGTACAGGATTCTGTGCGACAAGAAGTTCTACGGCAAGGTGAAGAAATCGACCCTCATGGCCACTGACAACTCCTACAAGGCCCTCTACTACAAGAAGTCCCTCATCGAGAACCGCAACTGGATGCAGGATGCCACCCTCTACGCCTCCCTCCTGTTCGTCTCCACTTCTCTCTCTCTCTCTCTCTTCTCTCTCTTTGTGTGTGTGTGTGCGGTTGTGTGCGTGTGCGTGTGCGGTGTGTGCGGTTGTGCGTGTGCGTGTGCGTGTGCGGTGGTGTGTGCGATCGTGCCTCACGCCTGCGTGCGCGAACAAAGAGACGAGACGGGCGAGGAGACACCGAAGGCGCGCCGGAAGCGGGCCAAGAAGCGGCGGCCCACGGTCGCGCTGGCCAACGATCAGCTGAACATGTCGTCGGTGCGGTTCAACGACCGGTTCCTCGTGGCCGGCACCAGCCTGCCCGACAAGGGCATCGAGGACATCGGCAACCTCATGATCGAGAAGACCATCGGCCTCTGGCGCCGTGCCACTCTCGAAGCCGCCGTCGCCTCGCGCGCGCTCCTCGGTAGTACTCACTTCGTATGCCGTGTGTCGTGTCGTGTCGTGTGTGCTGTCGCGCGTGTCGTTGGTCGTGTGTCGTGTCGCTGATTGAGATCGGTTGGTTGGTTGCAGATGAGGAGCAACGGGAGTCGAAGCGAGACAAGGACAAGCTGGTGCCGCTCCAGCCCGACACCGTGCTCCGGGGCCACGCGAACTCGATCACGCGCGTCCTGCTCGGGACCACCGATGCCACCAGCTCCACGCTGCTCTCGGCCAGCAGTGACAACACCATCCGCGTACCACCGCACCACCGCACACACCACCCAATCCGTGTTCTCACGTGTCGTGTTGCGTATCGTGTCGTGTGTTGTGTGTCGTGTGTGTCGTGTGTGTCGTGTGTGTCGTGTGTGTCGTGTGTGTCGTGTGTGTCGTGTGTCGTGTCAGGTGTGGGATCTCGAGGAGCTGAGTTGTACGTCGGTGCTGTCGGGCCACGCGCAGTCGGTGTACTGCCTGGCCTGGCGGCAGGAGGAGGGCGTGGTGTTCAGCGGGTCCAAGGACAAGACCGTCAAGGTGTGGAACCTAGCCAGCAGCACGGGCGCGCCGGTGATGGACATATCCGGCACCCCCAAGAAGGACGCCCACAAACGGGCCATCGTCTGCATGGACCTCCTGCCCCACCTCAACTGCCTCGCCACCGGGTAACCGCACACGACCAACGACCAACGACACACGCGCGACAGCACACACGACACGACACACGCACCAACGTTCAGGCTTTTTGGGTCGTGGGACTAACGTGTGGGGGGGGGGCGCAGGAGTCTGGACAAAGCGGTCAAGCTGTGGGACATTGAGACCGGAGCGTGCCTCAAGACCGAAAAGAAGGCGCACCGCGGGTGGGTGTCGTGCCTCAGAGTAAGCGCTCCACTCCAAACAAAAACTCTGCGCACCCCCGATGCTCGTCAGTGCCGCAAACCTGTGCGTGTCGCGTCGATGATGCGTGGCTGCGTGACGGACAGGGAGGTCCGCACTACTTGATGTGCACGGGAGGCGATACCAAGATCAAGGTGTGGGACACCCGCACCGTGGAGAGCGTGGTCACCATCCGCAAGATGAAGAAGGCACACTCCATCGGCGACTACGTGTCGACCATCCAATTCGACCAAAACAAGGTACTCTGAAAAATCCCCCCTTCTTCTCCTTCTGCGGGCCAATCGCGATCGGTCGGTTGACTGGAGTCTTTGGGGGGGGGGCGCAGGTGGTCAGTGGCAACATGCGGGGCATCGTGGCGATGCACGACATGTGTACGGCCAGGCGCATCAACAAGTTCAAGGCCCACAGCCGAAGGTAACGTTCTTCTTCCATTGCCGTTGGATATGATTTTTCTTATATTTATCTATCTTATATATCTGAGATAGTCAAGTGTTGAATCATGTTTGCTTGAATGTGATGGCAGAGTGGCCGACCTGCAGTACGACGACTCGCAGTTGATCACCGCCTCATCGTACGACACCGCCCTCACCCGAGATTCCACTGAACGCACGCAGCACATGCGGCCAACAACTGCTAACGGGCTGACTGACGATCGCCAACAACACCACAGGGACAAGAAGCTGAAGATTTGGCTTTTTGGCGAACCGCGCGAGGACCCGGGCAAGACCGGACCTGGGAAGTGTCTACTGGCCTAGGCCTCAGGTAACAACAAAATAAAAGTGTCATGGTGACAATGCACACACTTAAGAAACTGGTGAACGAGGTGTCAGGCACTACGCGTACCACCTCACATGTGCTCCCCAGAAGGCACCCTCCCCAATTTTGGTTTATATCATATTCTCGAGAGAAATTAACAAAAATTGCCTTCATTTTTGTGGTCGAAGAGTTGGAGGAGAAAGACAAGATGGCGTATCGACAGGGCGGCACACATTCGCAGAGGGACTCGTTGAGGCAGCCCCTCCTGCAGCAGACGGTGAGCGGGGTGAGCTCGTACGACACCGATGCCGCCCTCATCGAAGAGCGGAATCGCGACATGCGCGAAATCGAAGGTGAACTGAGCGCCCTCCGGGATGTGATGCGCGACGTCAAGGGTCTCGTGGACGAGGGCCGCGACCAGCTCGACATTGTGGAGGAACAGGTCGTCGTTTCTGACATCCGAGTCGAGAAGGGAATTGATGATCTTACCGATGTGCGTACCCCTCCGATTTTTCATTTCATGTCCTTGATTTCGGTTCTTCATCAAGCACATTACTTCAAGCTCATGCTTGCATGAGTATCAACACGTGATTTTATTTTAATTGATTTTCTTCTTGAATTGGTGCACAGGCGAACAGGCTGGCGTGTAGCGCGCGGTGGAAGAAGTTGTGGGTGCTCATCTGCTGCCTCATCCTCCTCGGCATCATCGCCGCCGTGGTCACGGTCATCGTGGTCGTCCTCCTCAACAAATAGAGGCCATCCATCTGCCCACGAGACCGCTGCTCTTCGCCCGACAATTTTTCTCCCCGTACGACTTCATCTTCATCATCTTCAACCTTCCCCTAACAACAACAACAACAACAACCCACCACCGCCGTGCTTCTTTTGGGCGGAGAGGCAGCTGATGCCGGCGCACCGCCGCGTGCAATGTACTTTTCGCCGCGTCGTGTGCAGCTCGCGATGCGCATAAACACCACACATCGTTCTACACTCCCGCTCTCTGTGCATGTCGATGTTGCCCTCCTTGGTTGATGTCTGCATGCGTTATCGATGTGAATGTCGTGGTGCCAAACGTCGGGCCGTCGTGCTCGAATAGCTGTACGCCGCACAGGCCGAGCTATTGACGCAGAACCGCGTGGGCGGGAGCTTGTGCGGGTTGAACCAGCGCGAAGAGCGTCGGCGGGTGCTCACGATCGTCGCACTTAGGCTCGGCCAGCACGCGTTTCATTTCGCTTTATTTTTATTTTTTGCCCTGGTCCGGCTTGATGCCCAGCTGCTCCAACACAAAGTCGGTCATTGGCTTCTCCGCTGGCCGCGGCTGTGCGTTGTCGCCAGCCTCATCCCCGTCTTCATCTTCGTCTTCGTCTTCGTCTTCGTCCTCTTCCTCCTCTTCGCCGTCTGTGCTGAAGTCTTCCGGGTCGAACTCGGTGCACTCGACTACGCTGCTGCGCCTGATGCCCAGCTGCTTCCATACAAAGTCGGGCAAGCTCGCCGGATCCACCGTCCTTCGCCGCTTCGTCTTCTTCTCGACGACCACCTCTCCAGCTCCATCTTGGCCCGCCGAAGAACTCTGCGCTATATCGGCAGCGGCGGCGCTGGTGGTGGTCTGGCGCGGGCCATCAGTAGAAGGCTCGTATGCGACGTCGTCGCCATCGTCGCTGTCGGTTGTTGTTGTCGAGACGGGCAGTAGTGTCTCGTTGCGGCCGTAGCGTCGCCCCATGCGCTGCTTGCGCCGGCGTATCTTTTCCTGTCGCTTGAACGTCTTGCTGTCTTCCGGGAAGTAGAGCTGCATCAGCTTCTCCTGCACGCCGGCGCATACCGTCGTCGTCGTCGTCGTTTCGTCATTTTCATCACATCGTCAGCGATTCATGTACATCGCTCAACCGACAATAGCCGGGCAAGCAAGAGAAGGCGGGCGTACGTGTAGAATGCGACGGGCGATGACGCGGTTGCGCCCACGCTCGCGCTGCTCCTGGCACTTGACCTCGAGACCCGTCGGCAACTACACGCGCAACGCATCAGTGGTGAGAAGCTGAACGAAGAACGAGAGAAGGAGAGTTGTTGATGATGATGGTGTAGGCAACAACGATTGGTGCAGTGTAACGTACATGCTTCAGGTAGACGCAGCTGTTGGTCTTGTTGATCTTCTGGCCACCCGGACCGCCGCCCTTGATGAACTTCTCTTCGAGCTCGCTCTCCGCTACTTGTCGCGTCTTCTCGAACAGGGAGCGTGGCTTGGCTGCCGGCGCCTGGGGCTTCTCGCGCTGCTGCCCGCGTTCTCCAAACCAGCCACTGTCATCTTCTTCACCCTCGTCGTCCACCTCTCTTTCCCTTTCTTCGGAGAAGCTTGGACTGCTGCCAGAAGATGACGATGAGGAAGATGACGCCCAAGCTCGCCCCAGCCGTCCGAGCCTGGAACACGAGGGTAGCCAAGTCGAGGAGTGGTACATGGTGCTCCGGTAATCGGGCACACCTGGCCGCAGCCATGCACCACCACCGGGCAATCGTGTGAGCCGCCTCATCTCTTCAATCTTGCGTTAATAGAGAAGAAAAGAAATGAACAGAGAAATATGAGCCTGGCCATAATAGAGTTTGAAATTGTTTGGCATGTTGGTCAAATTTTGGCGTGGTCGAGCAAATTGCCAGAGGAACAAACAACAAGAGAGGGCTTCATTCAACACGAACTTCGAAAAAGACAGCCCCCGACGGGAGGAGACTGCGCCCTCTACTCCAATACCCTCTCTTCTTCTCTGATCTCGAAGAAGGCGCAAAGAGAAAGCGATTTTGGTAAATTGGGGCCAAGAAGTAGTACTAGCCCCAATGGGACAAGAGCTCACTAAGGCGGTGTTCACGCCACCCCCGCCCTCCTACGACGACACGTTGGAAGGCCTTGCCTGGATTCCTTCCATCGTCTCCACAGCCGTGTCTACGGCCGCGTCGCGACAGCCGACCGAGGCGGCACCGCCCATACCCACCGTGTTCCTCGATTGGAAAGGCGCCAACGACGAAAGGTCCCTACCCCCCTCTCTATCTCTCTTCGCCTGCAACGCGTAGCGCCTGGCACTCCCCCCCCCACACTGTAGTCATGAAGCCCTGACTTCTCGCCTCCTGCACTGCTTTTGTTCTTTCTACTCGGGTGCGTCGACGTGCGGTGTCACAGTGCTTTCTTTACGCTACTCTATTGTAATGGAAGCGCTAGCGACCTGGGGCTCACATTGCCCTGGCTCAAGATCCTACGCGACACCCTCCATGTTCGTTCTCTCCTTCCCTGCTCGTGTGCCATCGTGCCCGCTCATGCCCACGCGCATCTCACTCTCACTCACGCTTCTCACCATCGTCTTCTTGTTCTACTTTCTACTTCTACGCTCTAACTTCTACTTTCTTTGTTTCCGTCTGAAGGTGAACGTGGTGGCATTCGACTACACCGGCTTCGGCCTGCACGAGGGCAGCCCTTCAGAGAGCGCATGCTATGACGACGCGCGGGCCGTGTATGGTACGGCTACCCGCCCCTCCGCCCCTACCACCGCGGACTGCACGAGCAAGGCCTTCTCAACACGCTTTATGTCGCGTTGCACAGCGTGGCTTACCTTGAGCAAGGGAATCCATTCGGACAAGCTCATAGTGTACGCTACCCCTATTTTGACTATGCAGAAGTGCTGTGTCGTCTTCTTCTTCTTCTTCTTTTTGTCGTTCGCGCCTCCCCGTGGCTGACACGTACCACTCTCGACCACCAGCTGCGGCAAATCGATCGGAAGCGCGGTGGCAATCGACCTCGTGTCCGCCTTCTCCACAAAATCACATCACAGAAGCGGTACTCACCACTACCCGCGTACTCTGGTCACTTGTCGCTACGCGCAGCACCAGTCGCACTAACGCCATAGCTGCGCATCTATCGCATGAACAAACAACCCCAGCCCTGGGCCACTTCGGCAGCCGCTTGATTCCAAGAGGCAAAACAGACAAGTCGTCGAGCCCAGAGCTGCTCGGTACTCACTCATTCTCTTTTCGCTTTCGATTGCTTCGTCTGCCCTCTCCGTTTTGAGCGGGTCAGCTCACCACTCTTCTTTTTCCTTCTCCTCGTGTCTCCTCTTTCTCTCTCGTACTCTTAGCTTTGACTGGCGGCGTGGTGCCATCCAGTTCCTTTGCCGGGCTGGTCCTGCAGAGTCCCTTCACCTCCATTCTCGCTCTCGATGTCGCACACAAGTTCCACGTCGGAGTCCCAGACATGTTCGACAGCCTCAGAGTACGTGCCCACACGCGCCACACACGACGCACACGCGCCACACACAACACGCGCGCCGCCACACGCACACAACGCATCGCTCGCTGATCGATGGGTACCCGTGCGGCCGCACTCGCGCAGAAACTGAAGCGGATATCGTGCCACGTGCTGGTGGCGCACGGCCAAAACGATAATTTGGTGCCCAAGACGCACCCCAAGAAGATGGTCAGGAAGCTCGAGAACCTGTGGAAGCGCCTGGAGCTGGAGGGGGTGGGCCATCACGACGTCGAGGCCTCCCACGACTGCCTCGACGCCCTGGTCGAATTCGTGGAATTTTTGATGCCCAACGGCACCAGCATCAAGTCGGAGATCGTAGTGCCCAGTACGCGTCTCCTCCCGCGCAGCCCGCAGCCCCCCCCCACGTGTTGGGCTTTGCGCTCTCGTCGCTCACTCCGTCTCTGTGCTCTGCGCAGAACGCTACACTGACACCCCGGAACAGATCGTGTCCGGCATTTTGGGGCGGACGGGGATGGAACAATACACCAGCCTCTTCCTCTCTCAGGTATACACGACACACACGACACACACACGACACACAGTGCCGCAAAGCAACATTGGTATCTGATCACGGCTCCCCCCCATTTCGATGCTCAGGGCTATATGGACCCGTTCATCATCAGCAGCCTGGAGGAGATCGATATCGTGGCTATGGGCATCAGCGACCAGGAGCACATCAAGGTACGCCTGCGTTGCTTTGTTACAACGGGCAGCTTTGTTACAACGGGCAGCGCAGCGGCTGACCTCTCTCTCTCTCTCTCTCTCTTGCCCCGCTGCAGGCGGTATGCAAGGCCGTGCAGCACGTCAAGACCGAGGGGCTGGCATCATCGCAGGGATTTTCTCTCTCGTCCCGAGCAGACTCCGAGGTATTACCTCAGCGGAGCCTATCTCTCTTTACGGTTTGTTTATTTTTATTTTTATGTGAGCTCATCGCGCCGTGTCACCTCAGGAGAAGCAGGAGGGCGAGGGTGCGTCGGAACAGGAGGCCAAGGAAACACAGAAATGTATGTCCTGAAACACACACACACACACGCACAACACACAAGCCACCCGATGGTTCTTCTCTTCTATTTCTTTATTTTTATTGTTCTACGCTTCGCGTACGCCGAGCTCATCTTTGATTGGTGGTGAACAGCCAACGGGAAACGGTCTAAGAAGACGAGCCTGCCGTCCATGAAGCAGGTGGAGGCTTCCCTCAAGCCGTCCGCGATCAAGTTCGAGGAGCTGGCGAAGGAGAGAACTCTCAAATCAGGTACGTGGACTGTGACCCTGCAGCTCGTCGGCCTTTGTCAAAGAGACAAGAGGAGGAAGAGGACGACGATGACGGCTCTCACCATCGATGATGACCGTCGTCGTCGTCGTCGCACCAGGCTTCTTCGAGGAGGTGTACATGTGCCAGTGGAACGGCCAGACGGTCGTGGCGCGAAACATGCCCGCCAAGGCCCACCAGTACGAGCAGTTCGCCAGATACACGGCCACCGTCATGTTCGTCTTCCCCCGCTCCCCGATTCGGTGGCCACGAGCGCTGTCACCTGTCTACGTATATTTTATTTTTTATATTATTTTATTTACACCGTCGTGTGACACAGGCCGTTCAAGCATCCCAACCTCCTGGTGCCCATCGCCGTCTGTTTAGAAGAACCCAACCTATGTCTTGTACGTTCTTCATTCTTTTCGTTCTTCGCTCTTCTTCTTCATTCTTTGCGAACGTGGCCTGATTGCCCAATCGACGTGCATCCGCGCAGGTGAGCAAGTGGATGGAGAAGGGAAGCCTCCACGATGTGCTCTTGCAGGAGGGCGCGTCTCTGTCTCCGCTGCAGCGAGTGCAGATCGCCCTCGGTGCGGCCGAGGCGCTGCTCTACCTCCACTCCCAATCCCCGGCGCCCTTCCTCCACAACGACTTCACCTCGCGCAACGTGCTGGTACTCGCTTCCCTGGCCGATACGACGTTTTCGTGTGGTGTGTGCGTGTGTGCGTGTGTGCGTCTGTGCGTGTGTCGCGTGTGTCGCGTGTCTCACGTTTTCCTCTTTGCGTGCGATCCACGCAGCTCGACGGCTCGCTGCGCCCTCGCGTGAACAACTTCGGGCTGGCCCGCCCGCCCTCCTTCCTGTGGATGGCGCCGGAGGTGTTCTCCAAGAAGCAGTACTCGACGGCCGCGGACGTCTTCTCGCTGGGCGTCGTGCTGTGGGAGATCTTCACCAGCTGCCGCCCCTGGGAGGGCACCCCGCCCTCCATCGCCGTGCTTCGCGTGGCCAAGGACAGCGCGCGGTTACCCCTTCCCCTGGCCAAGCCGAACGAGAACGGTACGCACAACACACACCGCCGCACACGCACGTACCGCACGCGCTGTCTCGCATTGGTAATCGGTGGTGGCTGATCTCTCCGCTTTTCTCCTTTTGCGTGGCATTTGGGCAATTGATCAGACGAGGAGGTGGTGGAGGCCTGGGTGTCGCTCATCCGCAGCTGCTGGCACGCCGACCCCGCGCGCCGGCCCTCGGCCAAGTCGGTCGTGGAGCGCGTGCGGGAGCTGCTCGCCGCCACCTCGTCGCTGTCGCCGCCGCCCGCGGCCTTCTCCTTCGCGTCGACCTTTGCCCCGTACGCCCACGTCAAACCGACGACCCGGCGCAGCGTGGGCGGCTCCTCGGCCGCCGCCTCGTCGATGTCCGCCATTCCCTCGCCCATGTCGGCCCCGGCCTCGCTCGGCAAGAAGCCCTCGCCGACGCAGTCGGGCTCGCACGCCGGGGTGCCGGAGCGGGTGGTGAACGTGACGGTGGCCGAGATGGAGTCGGTGCTGCACGACATGCAGGGGCTCTTGCATCGGGTCAGGAGCCTGCAGGAGAACTATGAGACTTCGACCTCCATCACGACCGACGACGAAGACGAGGAGAGCATGACGACGAGCGGGGACGTGAGCTTCAGCGAGAGCGACACGGCTGTGTCGTCATCCTCGGATTCGCCTCTGCCCTCTCCTGCCAGATCTGGCGGCGGCGGCGGCGGCCAGCGCGCTGCCGCCTGACGCAGCTGCTCCCCTGTACCATACCCCCTTCAACGTGTCCTGCAGCAATCTTTTTGTTCCAGGCCAAGAAATTTCGTAAAACATGCGGAAATTTCATTCAAGAAGCTCCCGCATTTCCCAAGTTTCTGCAAAGGCAGAAATGGTTTTTTAATTGTTTTTTTGTCCGGAGCTGATTGACCTATGCCGAGCTCCCACGGCACGACCAATGGGCGACTGCCAGCGCGCTGTGGGCCAGCGTAATTGCAGTCCGCGTGCGGCTTTTTGCCTTTGTTTTCGCTTGTCTACTTCGCACGCAGCAGCTCGAGATGAAGGCCGCCCTTCTCGCTTTTGCGCTCTTTGGCCTTCTGGCCTTCGCCTCGTCCACTGTTCACTTCCAGGAGGACTTTGATGGTACGTCGTCGTGATTCTAGCGGACAGGCGTGATTTTGGCGCGGATGATGAAATCGCAATCGCATTCGTGCTGACGATTCTTCTTGTACCACTTGTATCGAACGACAGACTCGTGGGAGAGCCGATGGGTGTACTCCACCCACGATGATGCCTCGGGCAACGCTGGCAAGTTCGCGCACACCGCCGGCAAGTACTTCAACGACGCTGAGAAGGACAAGGGCATCCAGACCTCGCAGGATGCCAGGTTCTACAAGCTGTCGGCCAAGTTCCCGAAGTTCACCAACAAGGACAAGCCCCTCGTGATCCAGTACTCCGTCAAGCACGAGCAGTCTCAGGATTGCGGTGGTGCCTACATCAAGGTCGGCCCTGGCCCTCTTGACCAGGAGAAGTTCGAGGGCGAGACCAAGTACAAGTACGTAGAGAACGCACTCTCATTCTCTAGACCTCACACTGCCGCCTCGCCTCCGCCGATCTCTCGCTACACTGGTGATTTGACTCGATGAAAATTTAATTCATTTTTCATCCTCTTTGTACGTACAGCGTCATGTTCGGCCCTGACGTGTGCGGCTCGACCAAGAGGGTGCACTTCATCCTGAACTACAAGGGCGAGAACCACCTCATCAAGCGTGAGGTCAGGCCCGAGACTGATATCTACACCCACCTCTACACTGCCGTCCTTTTCCCCAACCAGACCTACGAGGTACACATGCATGCCCACTCACACTTCCTCTCGCTTGCCAGCTCCTTCAGCCTTTCATCTCTCAGCGATAATCGAAGCTCCAATTGACTACAAACTTTTACAACCCTTCTCACCGTTCATGTTTTTTTTTTTTTGCGCAGATCCGCATTGACAACGAGGTCAAGCAGTCTGGCTCGCTCATCGAGGATTGGGACCTTCTTGCGCCCAAGCAGATCCCCGACCCCGCCCTCAGCAAGCCCGCCGATTGGGTCGATGAGGAGTACATTGATGACCCCGAGGCCAAGAAGCCCGAGGATTGGGACAACACCCCCAAGCAGATCGCCGACCCCGAGGCCAAGAAGCCCGAGGACTGGGATGACGAGCTCGACGGTGAGTGGGAGGCCCCGATGATCGCCAACCCCGACTACCAGGGTGAGTGGCAGGCGCCCCGCGTCAAGAACCCCGCCTACAAGGGCCCGTGGGTGCACCCGCTCATCGACAACCCCGACTACGTGGCTGACGACCAGATCTACGTGTTCGAGAACGAGTATGTCGGCTTTGAGCTCTGGCAGGTCAAGACCGGTACCATCTTCGATCACATCCTCATCACCGACGACCTCGCCGAGGCCGAGGCCTTCGCCACCGGCTACTTCGCCGAGCAGCAGAAGGGCGAGAAGGCCGCTTTCGAGAAGCAGGAGGAGGAGAGGAACAAGGCCGAGGAGGAGGAGAGGAAGAAGCGCGACGCTGAGACCCAGGAGGCGGACGACGATGACGACGATGATGACGACGAGGATGACGTTGCCGATGACCACCACGGTCACGACCACGAGGACCTCTAAGCGCCTCCGCCATCTCTCACCCCCACGCTCAGATGAGTAAGCCCTCATCGTCTATTTATCTATCGTGTCCAGTAGCCATTCCACACCTTATAAAAACAACCTCCAAGCTCACACAAGGGGAGAAGAAACAGACGTGGAGTGAGGAAGTTAACACGCAGCTTGTCCAGGAACGCCCAGATGGGTGTAGTGCCACTGAGCATGGTTGGGAGGGTGAGATTGTTCCCATCCCCATCAATAGAAAAACTCCATGCTATGCTGTAGGCTTGGGCACCACCCATCCCCCCCTCCAAAAAATGATGTAGGGGTAGGATGGTCATTGAAGTTCACACAGAACTTGTGGTCATTTGAAATGAGAGGTCCAGTCATTTTGAAAAGTGATTTTGTTTGTGGGTTTAAGCTCATAAAAATAGTTTTGACAACACAAAAATGGTTTTAATTTAAGAATAGCAAGACAAAATTGGTCATTCCAGACCTTGACTTGATGGCCCAGTTACAGCATCATATCTCTCATTATGATGGTATTTTAATCTGCCATTTCTCAAGATAACAGGCTTTGAAAATAGCATGTATGCAATGGGGCAGTTACCACCTTCAGGAGCTTCAACAGTTCCTTGTTGTTGGCCATGGCTGATGGCAGGGTGACTTGCACCTATGCATACACAGCAACAAAAACTGTAAAACCAGACACATACTTTATCACATACACATACACAATGACTACATGTTTGACCTACCAATACTTAGTTTATCATGTACACATACATGATCTGGAAAATCAGAACTTTTGCTGGTTTGTGTAGTGCTCCTCTGAACACCCTCAAACTTCACCTTGCTTTTGCTTTCATACCCTCTGTCAATTCCATAATCAGTGGCCAACATGCTGCCCTCACATCCAGTTCATGTTCAACCTCACACCATATTCAGTCAGTTGCACACATGCACTGAACTTCATTCTTCACATTTGTGCTGAATTGGAGCACTATTCCTTAAGTTAAAATTCCACTCCATTCCACACTGATAAAATTACTTTTAACTCCACAAATTCCAGGTTTTTATCAAATCATTTTCATCTCAAATCCCTCAATGTGACTTATAAGCAGGGAGAAACAGGAGATAAGAATCACACCTGGCCTAAGCCAGTATCTGTTAAATGGATGCATCCTTGTGCCTGGCATTCCTTGGTTGCTTGGAATTTTTGGTCTTTTGGTCTGGCTTACGTGCAAACTTCCTCAGTCCAAGTGCGGAATGGCAGGGCACTGTAGGTGTGTCTATCTGTTTGGTGCGCCCCTTATGTTCAAGGACGGATGGCCGAGTTGGTCTAAGGCGCTACGTTCAGGTCGTAGTCTGGGTCTCCAGGCGTGGGTTCGAATCCCACTTCGTCCAACGCCTTTTGGCAACAACGACTGCACACCTGAACCGCCAGATAGAAGCGGGCACAACTGGTACTGTCCGTAATCAACCACCACTACGCCCAGCCCCGTACTCAGCTGTTTACGATTCTTTGGTTGCGTGCAACACACACACGTACGACACATTCACAACACGTACAACATGAACACGACACACGTACAGCACACGACATGTACACGACGTACAACACACGACCAAGATCTTTTGGTTGCAGCTGGGCACGTTGTATTTTGAAATGATGCCTGGATTCGTCATTGTCGCCGCTCGGCCTGATCGTGAATCCACCGGTTCCACTGCTGCCACTTAACTCCCTCAGCCAGAGCCTGTACTCACGCCTCGGTTTAGCCCCATGCACGCACCACAAGGCGAGCACACGCACGCACGCACACACACACAGAGAGAGAACGTCAACCTTCTCGTATAGCGACCCGATGTTGATGTTGCAGCTTCGGCCCGAGTAGGTGAGATTGAGTTTGATGCCCACGGCCGTTGTATAGAACAAACTAGTGGTTCCCCACCACCCGAGGTGTCAGAATGTGTGTCATGTGTCGCGTCGTGTGTGTGTCGTATATAACGTGTTAGTCGTACTCTCGCTTGACGTTGTCGAGTTCCTCGCGAAGCGAGCTGAGCGCGGCGTCCTTCTCCTGATCGCGACGCGCTGTCGACGGTGAGTTGGGACCGTGCTGCTGCAGGAGGGCCTTGTAGGCCTGTCGCAGGGACTGGAGCTCGCCCTGCAGGTGCTGGCTGGTCTCGTCCTTCTCCTTCGCCATCTCCGTCTGCTGATCTTCCAGTCGCTCCAGCTGTGACGATCCCAGATCACACAGAACGTGTAAATGCGTGTGCGTGTGCGTGTGCGTGTGCGTGTGCGTGTGCGTGTGCGTGTGCGTGTGCGTGTGCGTGTGCGTGTGCGTGTGCGTGTGCGTGTGCGATGATGTGTGGTACCTCGCGCGAGAGAAGAGAGTTTTGTGTCTTGAGGGCCTGCAGGCTGTTTTCGTGCATCTCCTGTTGGGAGGCCACCAGCTGGGCCTGCGCGGCGAGTTCGGCGGTGAGCTGCGCGATGCGTCGGTCCTTCGCGCGCGCCTCCTCGACCTCCCGCTCGCGCGCCTGTGGATCGTGTCGCTCCTCCCACACGCGCATCCGCTCCTCCAGCCCCTCCACCTTGGCCTGGTGCTCCACCTCCCTGGAATGTGTGTAAATTCCAAACGTACGGGGAAGGATGTGAATGGAATGCGTGTGTACATTCCAGAGGCTTTGGTCGCCGTACCGCTGATGCGACTCGAGCTTGGCCTGGGCGAGTTGCCCGCGCACGTCGGCCAGCTCGGCAGCGAGCGAGCCGGCCTCGGCCGCCTGGGCCTGGACCCGCTGGAGCTCGACCCGCAGCATGATGACCTCGGCCTCGATCTTGCGCCGCTGGCTCTCCCGCTCCTCCACCGCCTGCCGCAGCTCCTTCTCGCGGTCGAGGAACAGGTGCTGCCCGCGCTCCACCTCGCCCCGCCCGAGGGCCTCGTACTGCGCGAGCCGCTCGCCCAGCTGCGCGCTGGCCTCCTCCGCCCGCCGCCGGTCGGCTCGCTCGCGCTCCGCCGCGTCAACCGCCGCGCGGAGCTGGTCGTCGAGCCCGCGGGCGCGGTCGAGCGCCTCGCGCGTTCGTTCGCGTTCGTCGTCGCGCTCGCGCTCGAGCTTGCGGATGCGCCGGTGCAGCTCGTCCTTGACCTCGCGCTGCAGCGCCTTCTCCTCCTCCTTCTCGCGCTCGAGCCGCCCCACGCGCCCCTGCAGCTCGCGCACGAATTCCTCGACGGCCCACCGCGCGCCGTGGTCGGCGTCGACGCCGGCGCCGGTGTCGACACTGGCATTCGTGAGATTCCGCTCATTCTCGCGCAGCCGCTCCCATTCCTGGCGGAGCAGCCCGACCCGCTCCTCGACCTGCCGGATGGCCTCGCGGTTGGTGCCCCCCGCCGCCTGGGCCTGGGCCGCGAGCGCGCGCGTGGCCTCCTCGTGCACGTCGCGCAGGCGGGCCACCTCAGCGTCGGCCACCGCCACGCGCCGGGAGAATTCCTCGCATTCCGCACGTGCCGCGCGCTCGGCATTCTCGGCCTCGGCCCGCAGCCGGTCGCTCTCGGCCGCCGCCTCCGTCGCGCGCGCCGCCTCCTGCTCGAGCGTGCGCCGCTCGAGTTCGATCGCCTCGACGCGCTTGCGGCCCTTCTCGAGCTCGAGCTTGATCGACGCCATCTTGCCCTCGCGCACGTTGACCTCGTTGCGCACCTTCTGCAGGTCGAACTTGAGCGACACGATCTCGCCCTCCATCTTCCGCCGCTCGCGCTCGATCGAGTCCCGCAGTCGCGACAGCTCCTCGTCCTTGAGCGCCAGCTCCACCGCCAGCGTGTCGGCGTCCATCATCGCCGTCGACCCGTGCGCGCGGCCCCCCGCGCCCGACGCCGCTTCGTCGCCGTCCGCGTCGGCCGTCGCGGTTATGGTGGCGCCCTCCGGCGAGGCCCCGCCGCGCGACGTTCTGTTGCGCGAGACCGAGCGGCGCCCGGCGGGGGAGGCCTGCTCCTCGAACTGCTCCTTCATGGAGACCATGTTGGCCGTCTCCTTCTGCATCTCCTGCTCTCTCACACACCCAACGGCGGCGACGACGACGATCAGAATAGCATGGGGGGGGTTGGGGGTTTGGGGTGTGTGCACGGGAATGTGTACCTCGGCGAGCTGTGTGACGTACTGCTCGAGGGCCTCCTTTTCGCTGGTCAGGGCGAACACCTGCACACGCGCGCACGATAGGTGGTGGTGGTGGTGGTCACACGCATGCCGCCGTGTGTACCGTGTCGTGCGGTGGCGCGTGTGGCGTGTGTCGTGTGTGCGATGGCGGGGAGATGTGGAGAAAGGGGGGAGCGTACCTTGCGCTGCTCCTCCTCGTATTGGAATTTGAGCTCCCAGAGCTCCTCCTCTATCTTGGTCTTCTCCTCCTCCAGCTCGTCGTACTCAGCCTTCGATACCTGCAGTGTGTCGTGTGTGTGTCGTGTGTGTGTCGCGTGTGTTGTGAGTGCGTCGCGTGAAGAGACACGTCGGCTGCCGCGCGCGGGGTGAAAATGTGTGTGGGCAGGGAGGGAGGCGTACGGTGGCTCCGCCGCCCGAGGGGCCGTCGTGCGGGTCGAGGGCGGCAGCGGAGGTGGCGGCCTTGGCGAAGCTGGTCTTGCGCTTGATCCTCTCCTCGGCGGAGAGGAGCTTGGCGTTGATGGACCGGAACTGCTCCTCAAAGCTCACCTCGGCCCCGCCGCTCCCATCGCTGCTGCCGCCGGCGCCGCTGCTGGTGGTGGTGCTGGTGGCGGCGGCGGCGCCGCTGCCGTGTTGAGTAGCGTCGCCGTGGCCGTCCTGCAGGCCCTCGCCCGTCCCCTCGTCGCCGCGGTCCTGGTGTTCGTTTTACGTTCGTTTTAAATTATTAATAAAAGGCGAGTGAAAAGGAAATAATAGTAATGTTCTAATGCATCAGCAACCAATAAATAAAATGGTCTTGAAGTAGTAAATAATATTCTCTTATGCGCGTGGCGTTGTAGTTCGTTTTTTATTAATATTTAAAAGCATTAAAGTCAATGTTAAATTAAAAAATGAATAAGAAAAATAATACACGGTGGGCAATAATAATTTCGGGGGGCATACCGTGGAGGAGGAGGTGGCGGAGGTGGGAGGCGGTGGAGTTGGTCGACGAGGGTGGCCTCCACCTCGCGCAGCTGCCCCGCCAGGCGGTCGCGGGCCACCTCGTACTGGCCCACCACGACACCCACGCCCTCCACCACCCCGGCCGCGCCGCCCTTGGGCAGCTTGCCCCCGGCCTCGCTGGGTCCCAGGGGCGAGGGCGCCGCATGCCGCGTGCCGGTGGCCTGCAGCATCATCATCGTGCTGCCGCCGCCGCCGCTGCTGCTGCTCTTCTGTTCGTCCTGCTCCTCCCCGCCTTCTTCGTCCTGGTGTTCTTCTTGTGGTTGTAGTTGTTGTAGTTCTGCTGTTTCCGGAGTTGTTTCTTTGCTCGTCTTCTTGATGCTGGAGCTCGAGGGCTCGTCACTGACCATGAAGGTGGTGGACGACGATAAAGAAGTGGCCTCCGTCATGGTGCGCTACGAGCGCGAGACTGTGGTCGTTTGCTTTCGCACTACAGGCGGTGGGAAACGGATGAGGAAATGCTTTTCACGCTTCTGCGATTGGCTCGTCCCAGATAAAGTGAATTTTGTGTTTATATTTGTTTGAACGCGCTGTGCGCCAGCACCACCCACGGCCGCCGGGGGGGGGTCGACGTCTAGTGGTTCTCGTAGCCGGGCATGGGGAAGGTCGAAGCAAAGGCCTCCACCTCCTCCTTCAGGGCCTGTAATGGAACGTTGAGAAAGAGAGAGAGAGAGAGAGGTTAGCAATCATCGTCGTATTCGCGCCCAATATGGAATCATCTCCGGGGGGCGTTCGTTTGCTGGTTCGTACCTTGACCTCCTCGCTGGTCTCGAGGGCGGGCAGGTAGTTCTTGAGGAGCTTGCCCGTCTTGTTCTGGATCGCAATCGCGATCTGCGCACCTGCGCACGGGAACAGAGGTTGTGAGAGGAGAACGCGGGAAGGAAGAGGCCAAGATGCCGGTGACGATGATGACAATGCAGAGTAGTAGTACGTACCCTTGTGGAGCAGCTCGGCGACGCGGACAAAGTCAGCCTCGGTGAGGCCGCGCGAGGTCATGGCGGGCGCACCAAGACGAACGCCGCCCGGGGAGAGCGCGCTGGCATCACCGTACACGGCGTTCTTGTTCACAGAGATCCTGCGCGAAGAGGGTACAGAACGTGGTGAGCTGGCAGGTCCTTACCTACGAAGCGCACAGCTAACATCGAGAAAGGGAGAGGGGGGGGAGCGTACGACACGAGCTCGAACAGCTTCTCGAGCTTGCTGCCGGTCATCTCCTGCGGCCTCACGTCCCAGAGCACTGCATTTCCGTCGGTCGGTCGGTTAGTGGTTGGTCGCCATGACGACGGCCACAACGACAAGATCGCGTTCGATCATCGACGCGTCACGTACCCAGGTGGTTGTCGGTGCCTCCGGTGACGACAGAGTAGCCCTTCGACACGAGGGTCTCGGCGAGCACCTTGGCGTTCTTCTTCACCTGCTGGATGTACGTCTGGTGGTTGCGATGTGCGACGTGCGTCGATCGAGAGAAGAAAGTGTCAGTGAACGCGACACGACGGTGCAACACGAGTCACGCATAAGAAGGAACCTTGAACTCGGGCTCGGCGGCCTCCTTGAGGGCGACGGCGACGGCGGCGATGGTGTTCTCGTGCGGGCCACCCTGGAGCGCGGGGAAGACGGCGTTGTTGATGCGGTCCTCGTAGTCGTAGGCGGCGCCGGTGGCCTCGTTCTTGCCGCGGCGGAAGAAGATGAGACCGGCACGCGGTCCGCGGAGGGTCTTGTGGGTGGTGGTGGTGACCACGTCGCAGTACTCGAACGGGCTGTTGCACTCCTGCGCCGCCACGATGCCGCTGATGTGCGCCATATCGCACAGCAGATAGGCTCCGTGCTTGTTGGCGATCTGGCGCAGGCGCTTGTAGTCCCAATCGCGAGGGTAGGCGCTGGCTCCCGCAATGATCACTACGCACACGCACGCACGCACGCACAACATTTGGGGCACCAGCGTCAGCGCTTGGTGCAGTTGAGAGTGCCACTAAGGACGGTAGGGGCGTACTCTTGGGTCTGAAGAGAGCGGCGTTCTCCTCGAGTCTGTCGTAGTCGATCAGGCCGGTCTGGTACGACACCTGGTAGGGCATGGACTCGAAATAGATCGACGTGGCGGAGATCTTCCTCTTGTCGGTCTGGTATCCGTGCGTCAAACTGCATAGCCAACCGCACACCCCAGCGTGTGAGCGATCGTTCACTTCAACGCAACAACACACAAACAACGTAGGAAAACGCACTGGCCACCAGAGGGCAGGTCTGCGTGTAGAAGAAGAAGAAAGAAGAAAGGTGGTCAGCACATGAAGGCGCTCATGCGAGGTTCGCTCGGAGAGAGGCGTTTACAAAGTCGAGAGACCGTAGTGGAGCTGGGGCGCGCGTACCGAGGCCCATGATGCGATCGTGCGGGTTCAAGAGAGCGGTGTAGGCGGCAAAGTTGGCGGGGCTGCCCGAGTAGGGCTGCACGTTCACGCCCCACTGCTCGGGCGACAGGTGAAAGGCCTCAAGCGCACGCTTGATGCACAGATTCTGTGCGCAGATGGGCCAAATTGGTCAGATCTTGCACACGATTCTTGTTGGCACAAAACAATGCTGTGTCGCTTGCGTGTAGAGAACTCCTTGATGAGCGAGGGGAGGGAGAGTGCACCTCGACCTGGTCGATCACTTCGTTACCACCGTAGTAGCGGCGGCCCGGAAGGCCCTCCGAGTACTTGTTGGTCATGCACGAACCGAGCGCCTCCAGCACAGCCCGCGATGTGAAGTTCTACACGCACGCGGTTGGCGGTGTGGTCAGTGTGCGGCTCTGTTGTTGCACGGCTGCACTATTTTCTATCGCCCCCCCGTCTATGCTGGATCTTGTAGAGGCAGTACCTCGGACGCGATGAGCTCGATGCCATTGAGCTGGCGCTTCTTTTCCAGACGGATGAGGCCCTGCACCTCGGGATCGGCGTCAGCAAGGGTACGGTTTCCGGCGTGTTGGCTGAGCATTCTCTTGTGTTCGTGAATCTTCCAAGATGCTAGCGTGCTGGTGGCTCGATGACAGATACAACAACACAATAGGTTAATCGGGACACGGCCCACGCTTGCTCGGTTTGGCGGCTTTGGTGGCCTGACGTGGCATATCTCCCGTTTAGCTCCTGCATTCCTGGGATTCTGCGTTCGGGCAACCACTTCTGCGCCAACTCCGAGATGCCATATCCAGGCCTCCACCACACCCTTTCCGCAGGGAAGCTGTCTGGGCTTGTCCTCAAACTTCAGCGAGCTCGGCCCATGGAACATCCATTGCCTTGATGGACTGGCGGGCATAAATGTAGAACTTGCCAAGCTCATTCATCTTCCAGCCAACAAACACCATCACCACCGCCCTAAGCATCAATATGTACCAGCAGCCCTTTGGCTACTACGCGCCGCCTCAGGCCTCCTATCCGGTCCAGTACCCGTCGCCTGTCCAGTATCCGGCACCGGTCCAGTACCCTGGTCCGACCATGCCTTACGCGCAGCCCGCCGCGCCCCAGGCCTACGTGGCCTACCCCGTTCCCTACAACGACGCAGCGGCAGGCCAAGCTATCGTTCCCGCTCCCGATTTCTCGCTCTGCGATGAGAGGGTAAATACGACCCGCTTCGTTCTTCCCCCCCTTCGTTTTTCGCTTCTTGAAGCTGACAGGTGTTGGGTGGTGATCGGCTTGCTGATGGTGCACAGGGTCACAAGCCGTGCAAGGTGTTTCAACTGCAGCAGAACTTTGGAAGCCCGACTGGCAACATGACTGTAAAGGACGAGTCTGGGCGTGTTGTGTGCCGTTTCAAGGGCAAATGGATCTCCGTCCTCGACTGCTTGGTCATCAAGGACCCCTCCAGAAGGTGACCCACACCCTTTCCATGTTGCAGTGCAACTTGCATTTACACAAATTGTAATTCTTAGTGGTATGCACAATGACCCAACCCACATGGCGCTGCACAGAACCATCGGCAAGGTCTCAGAGAAGCTGACAACCAAGAAGCTCATCAACAAGCCACGCTACACCGTGGAAGCAGGCGGTCTCAAGGCCTCGATGACCAAGGACATCTTCACCCTGCTCAGGGACAACTTCACCATCCGCCTGCGCCACCCCAATGGCCGCAAGGAAGAAATCCAGGTCAAGAGGTACTGCCATCTCATCCTCTCCTATTTATGGGTCAATGGCTCACTCGAGTGTTTATTTTTTCGTTCGTTGGTCTCAACAGCAACTGGTTCTCGTGGGAGTTCAAGTTCTTCCTCAACAACACCCTCATCGCCGCCGTCTCCAAGCGATTTGTCCACCTCACCGACACCTACGGCGTCGCCCTCTACGAGAACAATCCCCTGGTACCGTTTCTTTGCAACCTTGTTTATGCATCTCTACCATGGTACACGCAGCTGATGTGATTGTTGGGTCCACGCAGGACGCGGCCTTGATTCTGGGCTGTGCTGTGGTGATCGATCGCGTGTGCTTCGGCGAGCTCACCCTCAAGGGGTTCATCAACTCGGCCTCCCACCTGCCCCAGAACCCCTTCTCGCGCTTCCCCGTCTCCCACGCCGGCTGGTAGTGACCCCCGCTGCAGGCGCTCATGAGAGATGGCTGACAGCAGCCATCAAAACAAAAATAAAAATAAAAATAAAAATTTGTTCAGTGATTGGTTTCGCACAAAATTGTTTTTGCTTCCCACAAGTTGTGCGGCACCAAGGCCTGCCTGTCTTCAGGTGGGCGTGGCCACGAGTTTCATTGAGCGGGTGTGGGGCGCACCTGGCTTGCAAAGATGGATTCAGTGCTACTTCGTAATCATACTGATATGTATATCCAACTCCTGATGGGCATACTTCACTGCGTACGCTGTGGACGACGTAGCACAAAGAAGAGATCACGGTCATGTTGACTCATGCTTTACAACGAATCCATCGTCAAGATGGAGGCACGACTGGCTGGGCGCCGGCATAGGCGCTCGGCTGGTCTCCTCACCAACGCAGAGAGTAAACTCTGCTTCACCAACAAATCGCCTGGCCGCAAGGCTGGGATCCCCCTGGACTCCAATACCCCCCAACCGCACGGTTCGCCACCAAGCAGCCCCCACACCCACCTTTTTGTGTTCGCCGGTGCACTTTGCCACCGCACACATGCACAACCCTCCACGCGGCCACTTCCGCGGCGAGGAGGTGGCGTTGTACGTGTCATGTGTCGTGTGTGTGACACCTCGCCAGAGAGAAGGGGCTTTCTATGTTTTGGGGGAATGTGGAAGAGAAGGCTTAGAGGAGCATCTTGACAGGGTCCTCGACGAGCTCCTTGAAGGTCTTGAGCCACTCGGCACCGACGGCGCCATCCACCACGCGGTGGTCGCAGCTGAGCGTGACGGTCATCACGTGGGCAGTGGCGTAGGGCTGCGCGGCCGAGGTCTCCTTGTCCTCGTTGGGCACCACCTTCTTCTCGGTACCGCCCACGGCGAGGATGCACGACTGCGACACACGCGACACACACCAGAGAGAGAGAGAGAACGTCAGCCCAGTGCTCGAGACTTGGGCGCACCAAAAGATAAGTGACGAAGAAGAAGAAGATGCCTGAGGCGGGTTGATGACGGCGGCGAACTGCTTCACGCCGAACATGCCGAGGTTGGAGATGGTGAAGGTACCGCCCTACACGCACGCGCGTGATGACGAGAGAGAACAACAGATCAGTTCCGGAACGCTGATGCTTAATTCATCAACCCGCCACAGGGCGGTGATGACGACGATGATGCCCAACGAGTCTTGCGGTGTGTCGTGTGTGTCGTAGGTCGTGGGGCCGTACCTGGAACTCGTGGGGCTGGAGCTTCTTCTCCTTGGCCTTGTTGGCGAGGTCCTTGACCGTGTTGGCGATGGTGGCCAGACCCTTTTTGTCGGCATCCTGCACGATGGGCGTGAACAGGCCCTCGTCGGTGCTCACGGCCACGTTGATGTCCACGTTGTGGTACCTGTGCGTGTCGTGTCGCGTTGCGTGTCGTGCGTTGTTAGCCGTGAGCCGTCGCCACCCAAAGCTGGCACGGGAATTGAGGGGGGGGGTGCACGTACCGCCTGATGTAGTCGCCGAACCAGGCGCTGTTGCAGGTGGGCTTCTTCTGGAGGGCCAGGGCAGCGGCCTTGATGATGAAGTCGTTGACGGAGAGCTTGTACGCGCCCTCGCCCTTGGCGTTCAGCTCCTGGCGCACCCTGGAGGAGGAGGGGTGGCGCACGCACACGAATGAGAACACACAATGACGCACGACGCACACGACGACAACACAGACGACATGCACGACATATAGAAGGGGGACGCACTTGAGGAGCTTGTCCATGCGGCACTCGATGCTCAGGTAGTAGTGAGGCACGGTCTGCTTCGACTCGGTAAGACGAGCGGCAATGACCTGCGCGCGCACACACAGAGAGAGGCCGCGTTAGAGGATGCATTACCAATAAATAGAAAATAAATAGAAAATAAATAACAAACAGGGTGGTTCCCGGGAATTGAACAAACCTTGCGGATCTGTGTGTTGGGGATGTCGGTGAACAGGCCGCCGGGAGCGGGCGTGGGCACCGAGGTGGCGGCGGGCACGAAAGCCGGACCCTTGGCTGCGTACACCAGATTCCAGGGGGGGAGGAGAGAGAGAGAGAGTGCGGTCAGTCGGTGGCGCCCGAAAACACAGAAGAAGAGGAAGAGGAAGTAGAGGAAGATGGACAGTAGAGGCGGAGAACAGAGATGTTGTTGATATACCGGCATAATCGAGAACGTCAGCGCGAATAACGCGGTTATTGGAGCCGGTTCCATGAACGGCGGCGACATCGACGCCCTGTTCCTGGGCCACCTTGCGGGCGAGAGGGCTTGCGAACACCCGTCCGCCTGGCAGTGCCGAGAGCATACGTGGTACACTACTCAAAAATTTGGCGCCAAGTAGTAGTAGAAGAAGGCGGAGAAGAAGTAGTAGAAGGGGAAGTAGTGAGCGCAGGAGGTGGTGGGTGCGTACCAGCAGGAGCGGCCTGGGGAGCGGGGGCAGCCTTGGGCGCGGCGGGGGCGGCGGCCTTGGGCTGCTCGGGGGCGGCGGGGGCAGCCTTGGGCGCGGCGGGGGCCTCCTCCTTGGGGGCGGCAGGCGCGGCAGCATCACCGCCCTCGGGGCTGAAGTCCTTGAACTTGGCCACGTCCTCCTCTTCCTCCACGGTCACCACGGCAGGCTGCAGCCACGATGTAGAGGACAGGCGACGTCAACGACCACGTTGCTACAAAGATGGGACCGAGTAGAGGCATCAAAGAGAAAGTGAAAGAAAGATTGTTTTGTAGAGCCGAACCTTGCCGACGGTTACGTCCTTGGAGCCCTCGGGGATGAGGATCTTGGCTAGGTAGCCGGCCTCGGTGGCCTCCCAATCGACGGTGGCCTTGTCGGTCTCGATGGAGGCGATGAGATCGCCGGGCTGGATCTTGTCGCCCTCCTTCTTCAGCCACTTGGCGAGGTTGCCCTGGGTCATGGTGGGCGAGAGAGCCGGCAGGCCCAGCACCTCGTGCGCCGGCACTAACAATAAACAACCAATTCACAACGCGGAGGGGGGGCGTTAATCACTCCCCTTGGTGGTGGCCATTTTCCTGGAAGACGTACGAGTGGCATACGAGCGAACGCCGAACTGCTGGACGGTAGCTGATGAAATTGAGGAGAAAAATGCGAAGCAGTGATTAGAAGCCCTTACGCACGGAACCCTCCGGCATTTAATGTTCCACGCTCGGCACTAAAATGCCGCGTGCAGCACGAGTCCGGGAAGGGATTGAATGGCGATTTCGTACCGGTGGAGCGGGCCACGGGACCAGAGAAGAGAGGCGAAGCGCTGCGCCTCGAGGTGGAAGACCTACCGAGCAGCACGAGCGTAAATGGATTGATTGATGAACCGCTTCCGATACGAGGGGGGGCGTACAGAGTAGAGGCGGAACGCTGCGCGACGGCAGTAGCACGGAGGCACTGAGCAGTGGCACTGGTGCCCTTCACGCCACGCGCAACACGGCTGCTTCGAGACACTCCCCTCTTCATCTTTGCTCAAGTGTACAATGCACCACACAAGCCCACTTCTCTTTCTCTGCCCGAAAGGAGCGAGGAATTGTGACGATCATCCATCACTTCTGCACGAATTGCGCGCATTTCACAACTTTTTCCTGGCGCAAGCATTTTCATCAGCATTTCTTTCCTGCACCACACGAGATCATCAAATTGAGTGATTGAGAAGACCAGGGCGAGGAGGCAGGTGAAGAGTGAACGCATAGAAGTGATAGATTACATCCACAATGCCCAAGCACAGTGACAGAAGTGAGGATGAGGAAGAATGGCTCGAAGAGGAGCTCTCTCGCGGCAAGGTATAAATTGGAGGAAACAAGGTGTTTGTTCTTTTTAATCCCCAAACCATTAATCTCCCCCCCCCAATGCGTTGCACTTTCGAAGGGCAAGAAGAAGAGCTACGCGTCATCAGAAGATGAGGGCCGCAACGACGACTACTCGAGCAGTGACTCGGATTCGGACGGAGGCAGGCGACGCGGCGGTGGTCGCTCCAAAGCCGCCCCGCCTCCGCTCAAGAAGCGAAAGAGCGGCGGCGGTCGTCGCGCGTCGTCGCCCTCCGACTCGTCCGACGACGGACGCGACGACCTCGACGCCGACTCGGGCGACGGCTTCGGCGACGATCTCATGGGCGATGACGACGATCGCGCCTAGTATGCTCTTCTCTCTTTCTCGCGCGCGCGCGTCGTGTGTCGTGTGTATGTGTGTCGTGTGTGTGTGTGTGTGTGTGGTGCTGATGGGCGGTGTGATGATGATGGTGGTGACGGTGGTGGGCGTGCAGTCTGTCGTCGCTGACGGAAATGGAGAGGGAGAACATATTGAACGAGCGCTACGAGGCGCGCAAGAAGCGGCTCGAGCGGATGGAACTCCGACGGAAGCTTCAGCAAAGCAAGGGCACACGTACGCCTGCCGCGCAACTCTCGTCAGTCGTTGGTCGTGCGTCGCTGACATGTCAGCGTGTCTGTGTGTGCTGTGTTCAGGGGCGAGCGCGCGGGCGAGCACGGCCAAGGGTACGGGCGCCAAGACGGGTGTGAAGGCGTCAGCGCTGTCCAACCTGAAGGCCAAGCGCGAGGAGAAGGCCACGCGGGCCAAGCGGCGGGCCAAGGAGATCGAGGACCGCGTCGACGTGGAGGGCAGCTCCGACGACGACAGCGACCAGTGGGACCGCGGCCGCAAGCGCGCCAAGCACGACGCGCGCCCCGCAGCCACCCCCAGCGCCGCCGACAAGAGCCGAGTCGAGGTGCGCCTGGCCCCGCCTATGACGTGGCCGCCACCTTAAGAAGCACAACGCTGATGTGTCGTGTCGTGTGCGTTGCGTGAAAGCAGGAGGAGCGGAAGCAGGAGTGGAGCGAAAAGGTGGAGGTGCGCCAGTACCCGACGCTGGAGGAGGTCAACTCGGTCAAGCTGGGCCGCTCGCTGCTGGAGAAGTGGCTCGACCAGCCCTTCTTCGAGAAGACCGTGCCCCGCTTCTTCGTGCGGGTCGGCATCGGCATGAACCGCGAACAGCAGAACGCCTACCGCATGGCCCAGGTCGTCGGTACGCGCACACACGCACACGCACGCACACGCACACACGCGCACTCACCTAGTAGCGTGTGCGGTGGGAGAGCAGTGGCGGAGAAGGGGCCGAGGACGTACACGGTGGGCAAGAAGAAGACGCAGTACATGCTCAAGCTCTCGCACGGCGGCAACTCGAAGAACTTCAGCATCGAGTACGTGTCCAACTCGCCCATCACCATGCCCGAGTACGAGCGATGGCTGCGCGAGGTGGACAAGGCCCACATGGACATCCCCACCCCGGCCGACATCGAGGCCCGGCGCCGCGACCTCGAAAGCACCCGCCACTACGTCTACACCCACGTGCGCCACCACCGCCACCACTGCCCGCCAGTCGCGTAGCCGCTCCACGTCACTCACACGTGTCGTGTCGTTGGTCGTGTCGTGTGTGTGTGTGCGGTGCAGGAGGATATATCGCGGATGATTGAGGAGAAGAGTCAGTTGCGGGCGCGTCCGGTGAATCTGGCGGCGACGAAGGCCCACCTCATACAGCTGCGCGAGGCGGCCAAGGACCGGGGCACCGCCGAGGAGGTGGCCAAGGTCGACGCCGAGCTCCAGCGATTCGCGGAGCTCGACAAGCGCGAGACCGAGAAGCGACAGAAGAAGCTCAAGGTCGGCGACATCAACAAACGCAACAAGGTACTCTACCACCACACCAACCGACCCGCCATTCACCCGCCTCACCGCCACGACTGTGTGTGTGTCCAGGCGAAGAACATCGTGGATTCACACGTGACGGCGGTGATCGAGGCAAAGGCGGAGACCGACGACCCCTTCTCCCGCCGGCCCACCGCGCCGACTTTCCACATCTTCGCGAGCAAGCCCGCGGCGCCGGCCGGCTCGTCGTCGTCGTCGTCATCTTCGGAGCCGGCGCCGCCGGTCGCTACCGAGGCCAAGACGCCGGTGCCCGCCGAGAAGGCGGCGGACTCGACCCCCGTGCCGAACAAGGGCAAGGAAAAGGAGGAGGACCGCGCAGCGGAGCCCACGGCCCTCCTTCAGCTGCACGACACCCTGGACCTCGACATTGAAGTCAACCTCGACGACCTCACCTCCCCCACGACCAAGGTACCTATCACCACCACCACCAGCCACCAGCTCGTGGCCACGGCAAGCTGCGCCTCGCCTCGCTTCGCTACCTTTACATGTCGTTGCTGTACTCTGGGTACTGACGGGAGCAAATGGTGATGGTGGTCACGGTTCCAGCGGCCAGTTTCACTGCCGCACGGGGCGAACCGGAGGAGCACGGGAGGAGGAGCGGAGCAAGCGGCCAAGGCCAAAGCCATCAGCCTCGACGACTACAAGAGGCGCCGCGGCCTCCTCTGAGCTTTGGCGCATCAACGTTGGCCCTTGGGCATTGTTGTTGCCACAGCCGTGCTTAAAATAGGGGGGAAAAAATAAAAAAGAGGACTTCGCTGTAAATGAGCCCCACAGGAGAAAAGCTGTGCTGCTGCGTGAGTCCCTTCTACATGAGCTGGAAGGAGGAGAGGAGGATGTTCTTCAACGGGACCGTGGCGCCAACGAGAGGCCGCGTCAGCGTCAGCTCGAAGAGCCGGGAGAGCATGTCGTGTGCGTAGCAGTCTGTGCGCAAGTACAAACGCAACAACAGCACAACAACAACAACACAACAACCAACGATATGTCAAAAAAAGGCCGGCACACACACGACACCACATGGGCGGGTTTCTCGCGCGTACCTTGGGCAAAGGGGAAGTACTCGGGGGCGTACTTGAGGCTCTCGCGCACGATGTCGTCCACGGGGCTCACCAGGCACTCGAGGTACCGCGGCATCACCACCGCCGCGTCCCTGCCACCCGACACACAGCTGACTATGTTAGTTACCACCACTGCGGCGCGGGATTCGTGGAATGTGGCGGCGGCGGGAAGAATGTAAAGTCGTGGTACCGCGGGGAGTGGTGTAGAAAGCGGAGAAGGAGCGGCAGCACGCCAAAGTGGAACGAGGGCACCGCGTGCGGGTCGAGCAGGTCGAGCAGGTCCTCCAGGAACAGCTGCAGCACCCCGGGCGACCGGAGCGACGCCATCTCCAGATCGCTCAGCGTGTCCAGCAGCTTCTCCCGCCCGCCCGCCTCCTCGGCCACCTGCACCACCCACCACGTAGTGTGGTGAGCGCGGATTGGTGGAAGGATCACGTGTGTGTCGTGGGGAGGGACACGAACGCTTGCGGGCGGAAGTCGGAGATGGGCGCGCGTCGCCTGCACCTCGGCATCGGAGAGCGGAGGGGCGGGGGTGGTTACCAGCGGGCCGCCGCCGCTGCCGGCAGCAGCAGCAGCGGCAGCCGGAGGCCACTCGGAGAGGCTCCACAGGCCCAGGTCCTGCTCGGCCAGCAGGGCCAGGAGCGTGCCCAGCTGCCGCACCTCCAAATAGACCTGCTGCACCTCCCTGCTCCGCAGCCACCGCACACGCGCGTGAGAGGAGCACACACCACACATGCACGCACGCACGCGTGTCGTGCGCGAGTGCGCGGTGGGGAGGCGGTACGCGAGGAGTTTCTGGCGGGGCGGCGTGAGGAGGGCGCGCAGGCGAGGCACGGCCACGGCGAAGGCGCACAGGAATTCGGCGAACTTGGCGAGGAGGCCCGACAGGGCCTTGTTGTAGGACCCGCACACGGCGCTGATGGCGTTGAAGTAGGCCTCCAGCACCCGGTCCAGCCACCGGCTCTGCAATCCACATATTATATACATATATTAGAATATAATAGAATATAGTCTAACATTTGGGCCATGGTTGGTTGATTGGATCGCACACACGACACACGACACACGTACGTGGAAGACGTGGGGTCGGAGGGCGTCCAGGATGGTGAGCACGTTGAGGTAGAGTCGGTGGTGCTTCTCCAAAAAACTCTTTCTGGGAGGGCGGGACGCGGCCTTCGATGAGGGCGGCCAGGGTGTTGAGGTGGCGCAGGACGAGGGCCGGGTGCGCGACGGCGATGTTGCGCAGCGTGAGGTAGGCCCCGTTCCACGCGCCCTCGTCCATGAGCCTCTTCACGGCCCGCTGCACCACGCTGCTCATCGCGCTCTCCCGGCTCGACGTCTCCTCCGACAGCGCCTGCGTGTGCGCACACGACACACGCAAGACACACAACACACGACACACACCCAAGGCGACGTCGGCAACCGGTGAGCGCATGTGTCGACATGAGTGCGGAAAGAATGGGGGTGGGGGGGTACCGCAGCGGAGGAGGAGGGGGCGGACACGATGGCGGGGAAGATCAGGTAGAGCTGGGCCAGTAGCTCACGCGCTGCATCCGAGTGCTCCTCCTCGCGGCGCAGCACCTCCACCACCTGCTCCCGCACCCACCACACACACACGTGTCAACAGCGCACACGGCACACGCAGATGGGGGGGTGGGTGTACCGAGGCGAGGTTGTCGCGGGCGGTGGCGACGGTGGGGAGAAGGAAGGGCATGCGGCCGGCAATAGAGCGACGGAGGGCCGCGTCGGGGTCGCCATCGCCGGTGGCTGCGGCCGTGGCGGCGGCTTCGGTGGCCTCGGCGGCGACGAGGCCGAAGAGGGCCCGCGCGGCGCGCGGGGAGAGCGGGTAGAGGGAGTAGGCGCGCGTGAGCGACCCGGCGCGCGAGGGCGGTGGCGGCACGTCGGCGTTGGGGCGCCACGAGCGCGGGTGGGCCAGGTAGGCCTCGGCCAGCTCGACGAGCTCGCCCGCCCCAGCGCGGGTCTCGCCCTTGCCCGCGCCGCGCTCCTCCGCAGCCTGACCAAACGTGCACGACACACGCACACATCGCACACGCACACGTCAGCACTCGTCACGCCACGTCAGCGGGGGTGTGCTGGGTGCGAACCTCGAGGAGACGGGCGAAGCAGCGGTGGAGGGACTTCCAGCTGGCGCCGTGGATGGCGACGGCGGCCAGGTGCCGGCTCCAGCGCATCGGCCCGGTCGGCACGGTGGTGGCTGGCGGCCAGCGGTACGACGGCGTTCTGCATCTCCTCGTTCTCCAGGTCGCAGTCGGTGAAGGCGAGCCAGTCCAGCACCACGCCCCACGCCGTGGACGACCCCGCAGCAGCAGCGGCGGCGGCAGGCACCGCGGCGGTCGGGTGGGACGTGTGCCTGCACACAGCACACAGCACACAGCCGGGTCAGCAACTACGCGTCTCCGAAATTCGAGGCATGCGCCGCAGGGGAGGGAGCAGGGACCTGATGGCACCGAGGAGTCCGCGCAGGAGGGCGCTCTGCAGGCGAGGCGCGTGGAGCGAGGGCACAAAGAGGCGCTCGAGGGCCTCCTCCAGGTGGGCGGGTTCCCGCTCGCACACGAAGCGTGCCACGGCCTCGGCATCCAACTACCAATGGCCGCTGGGTAAGACTCCGGACGAACAGGCCAATGCGCCCACGCGTGTCGTGTCGTGTCGTGTCGTGTCGTGTCGTGTCGTGTCGTGTCGTGGTGATGTGGTGGGCTACGTACGGCAGCGGGATCGGCGAGCAGGCGCTCAATGGACCTACGCAACTGGTCCAACTCGGCCGGCCGTTGCATCGCAGCTGTTTGTTACGACGTCGACGTGGGAGGGGGGGGGTGAGTGTGCGGCATGCTACGCGCGCGTGAGAGCAGGCCTTGGGTGGAGGGCAGGCGGTACCTCGCACGGGGGAGGGCAACGCCGCGGGGGAGAGGAGGGCGGCGTAAAAGCGGGCCTGCGCCGTGAGGGCCACGCTGATGTCCCCCTCGACGGGAGCCGCGCTACTGAGCGAGACCAGCAGCTGCTCGACGAAGGCGCGCGCGGCGTCGACGGCCGCCGGGGCGCCGCCGGAGGCCGACGACGAAAAGAGGGCGGCGAGCAGAGCGCGCGTCTTCTGCGCGAGGCCGGGGCCACGGCGGCAACGATGAAGCCAGACGGGCCGACCGAGACGAGCGCCGTCGGGTGCCGCTGCAGGAGCGCAAACGCCGAGGCCGGGCCGGCCTCCACCGCCCGCCGCACCGGGGCCGACAGGTCCTCGCTACCGGCCGTGGTGGTGGTGGTGGTCGAGAGGGCCACGCCCACGAGAGCTGCGGCCTCAGCCGGCCGCAGGTCGCCACCGTCATCGTGCGGAGCGGCGCTGACCACCTCCATGTCGTCGTGCTGGGCGACAGCAATGGCAGGGCGCGGAGCGGGGGCGGCGGGGCGGGAGTGGAGGAGGCGGGCGAAGGCGGGCGGGAGGGCGAGGCCGAGCGAGGCGAAGAAGGGGAGCGACAGGCGGAGGGCTTCGCGGTCGGAGGGCGAGGGCAGGAGCGAGGGCAGAATGTTCTCCGGCAGGCCCGACAGTGAGTGCAGCAGCGCCGCGATGCACGCCGGCGGCAGCCCGAACGGCTGCAGCAGCAGGTGCACCACGCGCCCGGCCGGCAGCGTGCCCAGAATTCTGATGGGCCACCAACCAATCGGGTGAGTACCGGAAGAGATCGAACCAATAGGGGAAGTAGCGGAGGAATGAATGGGGGTTGTACGAGGCGAGACGGGTGTCGTGGTCGGGCGCGTGGGCGGCGTTGCGGAGAAGAGCGATGATCTCGGCGTGGCTGTCGGACTTGGGGAGGGGCTGGGCCAGGACGAGGCCCTCGAGCTGGGCGCGCAGCTGCAGGGCGTCGCCCGGGAGGCCCGCCGGGAGCGGCAGGGCGAGAAAAGTGACAGTACCCTCGCGCACGGCGGGCAAGTCGCCGGGCGAACTGTCGGGCGAGGCCGAGACCGAGAGGGCAGCGGCGAAGGCGCGCACAAAGAGGGCGTAGAGCTCGGCGCTGCGGAGGAGGTGGGTCGCCACGAAGGGGCGGGTCTGGAGGAGCGAGGCGAGGCGGAGCGAGAGCGGCACGGCGGCGGCGGGCACGGAGGCCAGGAGGTGCGACAGGTAGGCGTGGATGGCGCGCGGGTCGGTCTCGAACTGGAGCGAGGCCAGCAGTGGCCTGACAGGAACTCCGACAGGTGCTTCAGCAGCGCATGGCGCGCCAGGACCTGGTACGTCGCGCACGACCAGGCAGACCAGTTAGGGCTCCACTAGTGGCTCATCATGCGCGATGACGTCAGCGACGTGAGAATGCGGTGCGGCGCATAATACCTCGATCCACGCGTAGGACGTCCACTGGGCCTCGCGCGTTCGGAGGGTCTCGGCGGTGAGGGCGTGCTTCTCCTGCGCGGGCCACCACACATGGTCAGACCACGTAAAAGAAAGAAAAGAGAAAGAGAGTGAGAGCGTGGGGTGTGATGGGGGGGGGGTACGTCGGAGTGGGTCCAGGCCCAGAGGGTGAGGAGGAGCACGGAGAGGGCGCGCTTGGCCGTTTCGCGGTGCTTCTTCTGCCGGTGGGCCAGCCGCTTGAAGAAGAACTCGAGCAGGTGCGGCCCGGTCTCCGGCTGGTGGATGTGCTCCAGCAGGCGCGTCGCCACCCGCGGGATGAGAGCGGGCGACAGCGCATCGGGCGGAGACGTGAGCAGCTCGCACAGGCACAGCGCCGGCAGCACCTACAATGGAGGCAGCACGACACGACACGACACGCATGACACGACACACAATGAGACACACACGTGCACGGGCGGCAACAAGTTGGGGTGGGGGGGACGCTGGTGCGCACCTCGATGGTGTCGGGCTCGGACGAGAGGATGGGACCCAGCCAGCGGAGGGCGGCGTGCACGCCCTGGCGGGCCATGAGCTCCAGCACGAAGTCGGGGTCCCGCGAGCAGCACAGGCGGTGGCCCAGCCGGAAGTCCGCATCAAAGGCCTGCCGTACGCACCAGCACCAACACCAGCACCAACACCCAACCAACAGCGCGACGACGATGGCGACAACAGCGGTGAGCAAGCCTTTCCTCGGATTGGTGCGTGTGGTGGTGTGTGGCGTTTCGTTGGTTGGTTGATTGGGGGGGGGGTTTAAACCTGGAGGTTGGAGAAGACAATGGGAGGCGGGCGACGGGCCGGACCCGACGGATCGAACAGGGCCAGCTGCGAGAGGAGGTGCGAGGTGCCCTCGTCCACGTGAATCGCCGCCAACTCCGCTTCGCTCGGCTGCCGCAGAGGAGGGAGACGCGTCAGCGAGAGTGGAAGCAAATAGAAGAAGAAGAAGAAGAGAAGAAGAAGAAGAAGAAGGTATGAAGATATGTACTTCGATGCCCATGGTGGTGATGGTGTGCTGGCGGACGGCGGCGCGTTCGATGGCGGTCTCGAGGCCCAGGATGGTCTCCTTCTCCTTGCGCTGCAGGAGGAGCTCCCGCGCGTGCACGTCGTCGGCCGTCATCTGGGAGTCGGGCTCCATGAGCGGGAGCACGGGCGGGAAGTTCGAGATGCGCGTGATCAGCATCTCCATCATGCACCGCGCCGTCGGCAGCCTTCACACGAGCGCACGTAGGGCGCACACATGATCGCACACGCACAGGTTTGAGTTTGTGCGTTTGTAATCAACAATTTAAAACACACACAACACACACACGACACACGACACACGACACACACACACAACAGCTTGCGTCGCCGGGAAGCGATCACCGAGGGCGGGGGGAGGGGGGTGAAGGCGGCGCACCGTTGCCAGATGGCCTGGCCGACGTGCTTGACGTTGTAGGCGCCGATGAGGACCAGCATGACGAGCGCGTTCCAGTAGGCGCTCACCACGGACAGCGGGGTCGTGGCGGACTCGAAGCCTGCCGGTGGGTTGTAGAGCGTGAGCTTGAGCAGGGCTTCCACCAGCTGCGGATTCGTGATGCGCAGCGCCTCGGGGTCCTATGTTGACACACCAATCATCTCTGCCGCTTAGCCATAGAATTACCTAAATATCTAAACATTTAGATAAGATAGATAGATAGATAAAAAGAAAGGAGAAAAATGGAGACCTGGAGAGAGGCGGCCCGTTTGACGATCTTGCCGATGGCGTCCAACGCGTCGGAGTTGAAGAGGGGCCGACCGGTCAGGTGGATTACGGTGATGAGGGTGATGGTGTCCTCGCGCACGGGGATGGCGCTCAGGCACTTCTCCACCCGCTCCACCTCGCCGCTCATCTCCTGGTCCGCGTAGGACGCCGCAGCGTCCAGGTGCAGCAGGCGATGCAGCAGCGCGTAGTAGCCCTGCGGACTGATCCCGGGCAGCAAGCGCACCACCTGCTCACACACAACGACACGACACGACACACACGACACGACACACACGACACACACGCCTTTAGGCCTTGGTTTCGTTGCTGCAAACGGGACGAGGAGAGGCGGGGCGTACGATGTTGTGGCACCAGCCCATGGCCTCCTCGTGGAATCGAGCCGCCTTGTCACGCCATTCCCTGCAGCCGCCGATCCCACAAATTAGCGTAAAAAGTCACATTGACCGTTGCTGCGTTCGTGTCGTCCTCGAACTGGCCCTTGCCTCGCCCAAGAACCCGTGCAGCTCGCGGAACACTTGTTGCGTGTGCGGTGGTGCGTGTACGGTGGTGCGTGTGCGTTTGCATTACCGGAGAAGGGAAGAGTCGTCGGGAAGGCCCAGCAGCGGCAGGAAACCGGTGAGCTCCATGGTGTTGGACACGTAGCGCTCCCTGGGCCGAAAGTCGCCGGTGAACTCGACTCCGCCCAGCTCGGGCTCCTGCAGGAGCTCCGCGGCCAGCAGGAACACGTCGATTCTCGACCCCGCCAGACCCCGTATTACCTGTATATAACATATATGCACGACACGACACGACACACACACGACACACACGCACACCACATGCGACGGCCAGAACGTGTGAGTCACTCAAGCAAGCAAGGGCACGCAGTGTGGCACGTGTCGTGTGCTGTTCTGGTGTGCGTTGGTGTTGTTGTTGCAGCCCTGCGCAAGAACCTTGCTGAGGCGGTCCTTGAGGAGGCTGGTGTCTTCGGTGGCGGCCAGCTTCTGGAAGATGAATGCAATCTCGGCCTCAGGCCTGTAGCCGAGCTTCTCCATGGCCTCCACGACGATCGAGAGCATCTTCATGTTGGCGACAGGCGCAGTCTTGGCGGGAAGCAGCTCGTGCTCCACAAAGTAGCGAAGCGCGAGCGGCGGGTAGCTCCTTCACCACGTACGCACGCACACCGCCAAGAACGTCAGACCCGCTACACGATCGCCAGCACAACGCGCGCGCAAGGAGGCCGCACTTGTTGTTTCGCAGAACGACGGAGAGAGCTTCGGTCCAGAGCGTGTAGAGCGGGCCCTTGAGCTTCAGTCGCAAGATCTGGTGCACCACCTGCTTGTCGTCTTCTTCGGCCGTGTTGGTCTGCAGGGCCAGCTGGCTCAACAGCTCCTTGGCAAACCGAGCCGCCGAGAGGTTTTGAAGCCACTGCCGGCCACGACGACACAGACACACCACGTAAAGGTGAGCGCACTCCATCTCGTTCCTTGCGGGGTTGATGTGGTTGGCGGTGGTACCTCGTCCAGGTGTGCGGCGGCGAGGGAGCGGGCTTCGCGGTAGCCGGCGGCCACAGTGAGCAGCTTGACGACGTTGCGGATGCCCTCGACGCCGGCGTGCTGGAGGTGGTGCTGCACGAACTCGGCCGTGTGCGCGTGGATGAGCTCGCGCGCGCCCTCGTCCCGGTACCGCGGGGAGACCAGGTCCTCCATCTCGGCCGCGACCTCCTCGGGGTAGGGGAGCGGGGCGTCCGGGAAGGCCGTCAGGATGTTGGCCACGAACGCGCGCGTGCACTCGTCATCCACCCACAGCCTGTCCGCCACCGCATCCTCCAAATAGGCCTGGCCTCCGTAACACACGGCGCCACACGACACACGACACCGACACGACACCGACACGACACACACGACACACACGACACACACGACACACACGACACACACGACACACACGACACACGCACAGGTCGTCGTCAGTGTTGTCGGTGAGACCAATGGACGGGCGGGCTGGTTGGGCGCACCTGCACGAACTCGAGGGGCCAGTCGCGCTGGTGGCGGAACAGGAGCCACAGGATGGAGCACGCCAGCACCGCCGCGGCGCCGTTGCGCTTGCCCACGCCCGAGGCGTCGCGGCGAAGGAGCGCGATGAGCGCGTCGACGGCGGCTTCGGTGCCAAAGAGCGACGGGTCGCGCCTGGCCAGCACGGCCAAGGAGAGGAACGTGTGGCGATCGGGCTCGGCAGAGGCCGAGCTCGACTGGCGCAGGAACAGCAGCGCCTCGACTACCACCGCGCTCGCGGCCGCCGCATCGCCGCGCTCGTCTGCGTCAAGCACCTGCTCCACCAAATCTGCAGCCGCGCGCCGTGAGGCTCTACGCGACCCGTAAGGGGGTGCAACGAAGCTGAAGTGTTTGGGGGGGGAGAGGCTTCTACGCACCGTCTGGCACCCCGCTCACGAACTGCACGCGAGTAGCATGCAACCAACGACACAACACAACACGACACGACGCACGGGGCACGCACGCACAGTGAGAAAGGAGCGAGAGTGGGGGTAGGCAGGCGATGTGGTGGGGCTGGGCGCGCACCTTGCTCGCAATGGGAGGGGGCGGGGCGACAGCAGCACCGGGCACGCGGCGCTTCGGGAGGGCCTGCTGTGGTGGCTGCTGCTGCTGCTGCTGCTGCGAGGGCCTGGACGGGGGAGCCACTTCTCGCCGTGGTCGCGCCGTGGAGCCTGCAATGCGCAAATGTTCAGACGTTAAGATTCCAAGTTCGAAATGAGGGAGGTGTGTCTTCGAACCCAAGGCGATGAGCTCGTGGTTGAGGGCCGATGGAGCTGCGTTGCCACCACTTGCGACGGGTCGCCCCCGGCCGCGCCCGCGGCCAGTACCTTGCCCCTGCATCTCCAAGCGTGGATTTTTTTTCCTTGTCTTTTCTTGCTTTGCTGTAGTCTTCAAACTCAGCTCTTTTCCTTCATTTCCCCAGCACCGGTGTAACAGAAAATTCCAGGTAACGAAGGGAAAAGGGCCGCGAGAAATTACTGGAAAAGGCGGGAAAAGTACGGACCTAGAAAAATCGGGGAAGGACGCCTGCAACAGCCGGTCGGGGAGCTTCCCAGAAGAGCGTGCTCCGAAGAAGCGGCGTCGGCCTTTCCCCATCGGTCGCCCACCACCATGGCCACGAGACGTTTATGGCGCGGTGGTGGCCCACTTCACTTTCGAACTTCCTCCTCCGAGTCGACGCCACCTCCATGTTTGCCACCTTGATGATGTTTGCCAACGACACCACTACTGCCACTACCTCTGCCGCTACTGCGGCAGGCGCCCGCCGCTCTCCTCAGATGGATCCCGCCGGCATCTTTTTTTATGATGGATCCGATGGATGCATCGCGAATGATGGAGGACCAGGATTCGTGGGCAGCGCCACGATGAGCACGACGCCGAAGCAAGAGGAGAAGAAGATGAATAAGAACAAAAGAGGAGATCACGATTCCGATTACGAAGCCGAGTACAAGCAGCTGGCGCGGGATGAGCTGGAGGACATGCTGCTGACCGGCGAGCTGCCCGACTTTGCCTCGGGCCAGGCGAGATGGAACGAACGTAAGAACCGCTACTCGAATAACCTCCCGCTCGAACGCACGCGCGTCAAGCTCGCCCCGCGGCCCCACACCCCCGGCTCCGACTACATCAACGCCAGCTACATACACGCTCCCGCTGCTTCTGTCCACGCCTGCCATGCCAAGGCCAAGGACGACAACGACGACGTAGAAGTAGTAGAAGAAGCCGAGTACATTGCGGCCCAGGCGCCGCTGGCCGGTACCTGCGGCGACTTCTGGCGCATGGTGGCCGAGCGCGGGGCCGGGCTGGTGGTCATGCTCACCCGCCTGCGCGAGGGCGAGCGCACCAAGGCCACCCGCTACTGGCCTCGGCGCGTCGGGCGCACCACCCGGTTCGGCGAGGTGCGCGTGCGGCTCGTCTCGGTTCACTCCCACTACGGACCCGCCCGCGACGACCTCATCGTGCGCCGATTCCTCATCCGCCGCGTCCGCGTGCCGCAGCAGCAGCTCAACCAACAACACGACGACGACGGCATGCACGACGATGACGATGGCCACGACAACAACAACGACAACGATGCGATGACGAGCGAGGAGAGCGAGGTGGAGGGCGAGGAGAGCGGCGAGGGCGAGTGGCGGGAGGTGGTGCACCTGCACTACCAGGCCTGGCCCGACTTTGGCCGCCCGGCCACGGACAGCTTCAGGGAGCTGCTGCGGCTGGTCGACGACTTCCACGTGGCCCACGCCGGGCCGATCGTCACGCACTGCTCGGCCGGGCTTGGTCGCACGGGCGTGCTCATCGCCGCCCACATCGCGCTCGCCCAGCTCCGTCGCACAGCCGCCGCCGCCGCCGCCGAGGTGGTTCGACCCGACGTGTATGCCACGGTGCGCCACATCCGCAAGCAGCGATCGGGCATGGTACAGACGCTCGAGCAGTTTACCTTCATCCACGAGGTGGTGAACGACCTCCTCGCCGAGCGGGAGGCCGCCGCCTCCATCATGACCACCACGACCACGACCACGTCCACGATCACCACTTCGAGAGCAAGAGTCAGCGCCCACACGGCGACGAAGAGGTGCTCGTCGAGCCCGCCCAGGATCAGCAGCGGCCGGTCCTCGGCCCGAGGCGGCGGCGGCTTTTCGACTTCACTGGGCTGGAGCGCCACGTCAGCGCCATCGGCTTCGTCGGGGTGCTGCTCGTTGGTCGACGACCTGATGGACTACGACACCACCACCAGCTGCGCGGCCGAGCTCGGGCTGGCCAGTGCGCACCACCACCACCACAAGGCTGCCGTGCGACGCGAGCAGCAGCGGGGCCGGCAGGGCCTGTGCAGTTCGACGCCGGCCATCTGCATGCGGGTGTGACTGCCAGTCGACGCCGCCGAGGGGAGGGACGACACCCGTGGCCACCGACGGGAAGCGCAGAGCGCCTTCCGGTGTTCCTTGTAGGCACACCATCGCCGCACCCCCCCCCCCACCACCACCTTTCCTCCTGTCCACTACCCCACTACCACCGTCTTCTGTGCACATAAACCCCTTTTCTCAAGCTCACGAGAACGTTCTCTGAGCCGACCACCTTCTTTAATCTTTCTTGCCGGTGTTCTTCTTCTGGTTGCGGAGGAGGGCGCGCTGCTCGAGCTTGGAAAGGCCGGTGGCCGGCGCGGAAGGTGAGGAAGGTGATGGCCCCCCACCGGTGTTCTTCCTGGCCGCCGAGGGCGAGGCGGCGGCGGGGAAGTCCCAGCCGTCATCGTCGCCGCCATCGCCAGCGGCATCGCCCCAGCCGTCATCGCCCCATCCGCCCGCGCCCTTGCCCTCCTCTTCCTCGTCGTCGCTCGCACCCCACGCGTTGCCGCCCGACGACTTGCCGGTGGGCGACGAGTAGGAGCGTGCAGGCGAGGCAGCAGCAGCAGCAGCAGCAGCAGCCGTGGCGGGCTCCACCTTTTTGGCGGCTGCCAAGGAGAACGAACGTGTCGACGACGACGCGCGCGAAGAAATGGCCGTGGCGGTGGCGGATGCGGCGGCAGGCTTGGCTGCCACTCCGCTAAAGGAAGAGGAAGAAGCAGAAGAGAATGGCTTGGCGGTGGCGGTGGCGGCCTCGGCTCGTCGCAGACCTGGGATGCCCTTCTTCTCCGCCGATGGCGAGGTCGGAGCGACCGCACTGCGCGCCGTACACGCATGTCAGCGAAAGCAGCCCACGCCTCAGTTGTCGTTCATGCCGCCGCCGCCAAGTGGAAAAAGAAAGAAAGAAAGAGAAGTATGAGGGGGGGAGGCATATGTGTGGCGTGCCTGGGGCGGGCGCTCGTCACAGTGGCCGAGCCGGTGGTTGCCCCCTTGACGCCACTGCACAGCCACAGCCACATACAAATATAAACATAAACAAGAATTTGAATGCAATAATAATCTTGCGCCACGAACTTGAGAAGAAAGCGACGGCGTACGTACGGGTGGCGGCGGGTCGCAGGGGGCTGGCCACGGGCTGCTTCTTGGGCGGCGCAAAGACGTCGGCCTCGTCCTCCTCGTGGGCGCGAGGTACACCGCCCCAGTCGTCGTCGTCGTCGTTGCCCCATCCGCCGTCGTCGCTGTCCTCCTTGGCCCAGTCGTCGTCGTCGCCCCACCCGCCCGCGTCTTGGGCGTTCGCCTGCGTTGGCGGAATGGGTGAGAGGTGCGTGGTGAGTGAGCGAGCGAGTGAAGATCATGGACGGTGAGTGGGTGGAGGCCGTGGCATGCACGTACGGCGGTACTCAGGCGACTGCCGCCACCAGTAGAAGGCGCGGGCTTCGTGGCGGCCGAAGCTGCAGAGGTCGTGCGAGTCGCGCTAGCCGTGGTGGTGCCCCAGTCGTCGTCGGGGAGGTCGTCATCTTCG